ACTGTTACCCTAAACTTAACACTAACACATAAAAAAACGGGATCTGGGTGAAATTTGCTGCTAAGGTGGTGAATAGCATTGATATTTCAGCTATGATAATGACAGGTGCCGTTAGACAACGACTAGCATGCGTTCAAGCTCATTGGAGAGTTCATACTCCTGGGACACTATTGTTGAAATTCGCCCCCTGTAATTAAGTTTATGAATAAGACCAAATAAATCTACAGTGGATGTAGTATGCTAAATAAAGTCATTTCTGTGTGAATAATCGCCATCCAGACATTAATGAAAAGTAAAACACGTCTAGTTCAACGAAGTGTCTCTTTTCGGTGGCGAATTCATTCACTTAGCCTGTACACAATCGCAGCCATATATAATTATTCTTTTTGTATGCATTTGTGTATACGTTGGGTTTTTCCGATAAAAATAAAAATATGTTGGGGTTATTGTCATCAAGACATTCCAAAAATGTGATGAGTAATCAAACTGTAACCACAGGATGGGGTGGCGAAGATTGGTAAAAGGATAGTGATGATGTATTGTCAAGAACATATACAGTGACACATAAAAGAAGTTGAATAAGGATAATACGTCTACGTAATAAGATGAACAGTTCACTGAATGAGTAGTGATTAGGCCGCACATAGAAACAAAGGAAATATGAAATTATGTAAGAGTTCCTTTTATAAATCACAAATGTTATGAGGCGTTAGAGAAAAGAATCAACAAGCACATAAACATGAAGTCAGTAGAAGTCGGCACGTTTGTTACCATGATAGTAGAAGTGGTTGGATAATTTTCTTTTGTACACATAACTATGGTTTCTCCAACTGAATGAATGGCTAAGGCTTTAACACTACAAAGGAGACGAAGGCGCATTGCCTTTGGTAAGTTGTTCTTCACTTTGTAGATCACTTTGAAGCAGGAGGCGTTTGATGAGATGAAATGACCAGTGTTGACGCGATGTTCGATTATCGCACACCTTATACAGCCACTATTAACTTTTTGCAGCCGTGCTGTCAGAAAGTGTTCTTGAACCCTTTTAGACAGGATACGCATTGAACTACCAATGTGCTTGTCTCCACAGCAACATAGAAGTACGACTGAGATTCTACAGCTAAGTAAATGAGTTCGCCGCAGAAAAGAGACTCCTCTCTGAACTACGTGTTTTGATTTTATTAATTTGTGGGTGAATCAAAATGGAATTCACGTTAATTCCTAAAACTAATAATCTTAGTTGAACTTAACTTACTTATCAAATTCCTAAAGCAAGATACCCTTTTAGGCGAATAGTTGACTTTAGAAACACCATGACTTCTGAGTTATTTAAATATTTAGCATTAGCACTATGTCCGTTTAGAGATCGATCAGATTCTAGGCTAACTAATTCATATGTAATGAGACGAAAACTAGATAAAATTCAAATGGAAAAAGATGAAAAGAAATGATTAGTTTCGATGTAACAAGCTTGCACACTCATTTTCCACTTAATACAGTACTGGGAGTGGTTAGAAATGGAGTGGACATTGATCATGAACTGACAAAGAGAAAGGACTAAACTCTCGGTTTATGAAGTCGTATCAAGCTTACAACCACATCTAACCCCCCACTGTATTCTATTCCCAAAAAACTACAAACAAACGAATAGGTCGGAAATGTATCATTAATTTCTCACATAGTTGGTGACATATTTGTAGATGGTTGGGATACTAATACCATTAGAAAGTTTAACTACTTTGTCAAGTAATGATGGAGATATTTAGATGACACATTCATCCTGCTAAACTCTGAACATAGCTTAAGTCTCTTCCATATATATATATATATATACAGGGATAGATGGAATTCAGTTCACTTTAAAGTTGTAAAATGAACAAGATGAGTTGACCATGCTAGATTGTAAAATAAAACAAAAACAAAATGGTGGGTAGGCGTTTGCTGTATCTATGGAAAACTGACACATTCTAATAAATACATAGACTTTGTTTCATTACACCTAAGATCGATTAAGATAGGTTCATTTGAGTGTTTACGTAATCGAACCAGGAACCTAATTAGTGATGCTAGTAGATTTAAATAATGAAATCAGACAAATAAAGGAAATATTACTAATGAGTAACTAATCACTAGATTCTATTCAAAAAAATGTATGAAGACCCACAATGACAATAAGAGCAATAATGTAAATAAGAAAGTTATACAAATAATAAGGAATACAAAGCCTCGACAGTACTGCCATATAAAGAAGAAACATCAGAAGTCTAATGTAGGATTCTCGATGAGATTTGAATTAGAATGGCGTTTAAAGCAACCCACTCACCCAAAGGTATACTTAGTCGGCTTAAGGGCCCGATAGATCTAATTAAGAGAAATAATGCAATTTACCAAATGCCACGCAAATGAAAAGCAACAAGTTAGCAGAGGAAGCATCAAAGATAAGCCTTCAAGGAAACATTGCGAAAACAGAGGTGATGAAGATTCCTGGACAACAGCAACAGTAAGAGCAACAACAACAGACAACAATCACGCAGCATAAATGGTAGAAATCTGAAAGAAACAACCTCATTCACCTACCGACCTACCTGTGAAGCATCGTTTCGAATACAGGCTGACGGAACTGATGAGGATATCAAAGCGAGGATCGGTAAAGCAAGGTAGGCTTACATTTCTCTCAAGTCTGTGTGGAGGTCAACACTCACCAATAAGCATCAAAATAAGATCTAGATTTTCAACTCCTATATGAAGTCAGTGCTACTTACTATACGGATCAGAAACTTGGCACTGCACTGTGTCAATAAAGGCACTTCGAACAAACTACACACCTTCACCAACTACTCTCTTCGCTCAATACTACTCAAGATCAGATGGCCGGCCAGAAAAATTCAGCAACAGGGATCTCTGCAAATGAACCTATCAGGAACCAAATGTTCAATAAATATACAGGAAGAAACAGAAGCGGATTAGACATACTCTGAGAAAACCATCAAGCGACATCACGCACCAGGCTGTCTGTCGATTGGGACCCTAATGGGAAGCGACGAGTTAGTCGTCAGCGAGATGGTGACATGTAGGAGGAGGTCATGAGAAAAGGAAATGAAAGCATGCGGTCAGATGTGGAGCCAGGTGAAAACGCCGCAGGGGAACCGAACACAATGGGACATGTGGATGAACCCTTATGTTCCTCTAAGAATTTAAGGAAACAATATTAATAGTGTAATAACTGTGAGGTCAATTACATATGTCAAACTAGTAGATTATGATTAGATTACGGGAACATGGCAACTTAGCTAGACCTATAATGATTGACTCTGCTAAGTTGAATAACCTAGAAAAAAGCTTCGCCACTGTATTGCATGACCAAAAACTCGAACTTAGGACAAAAGTACCACTTGAGGACATAATGCTGGGAGTGCAGCTTTGCCTAACTTCTACAGTATTTAAATTCCAAGGGAAATGTACAAACAAACTGAGGGAGTTGCCATGGGATCACCAATATCCCCAGTTGTAGCAAATATATTCATGGATAGGTGGGAAAAGATTGCGATTGAAACGTTCACCCAGACCCCAAAAGTATGCTTAGGGTATGTAGATGACACATTCACTGTACTTAGAACACAAGATATAGATAGATTTTTCGAGCACATCAACTCGAAGGTAGAGGCAATTCAATTCACTTATGAATTGGAAAGTCAGGAAGGGGAGCTTCCAATGTTAGATTGCAACGTAAAAAGGAAAGAAGATGGGAAGCTAAACACTGGTGTTTACAGGAAACCCGCACATTCAAACAGATATTTGGACTTCCGATCATCTCACCCAATCTATGTCAGTAAAAATAGAATTGGTGAAATGTTATAGTGACAGAGCACAAAAACTAAGTAGTACTAAGGAAAATCTAAGACAAGAAGTGATACACATAAAGAAGCCTTGAAACTTAATAATTACCCGGATAATTTAGTCAAGAAATATGTAAGTAAATGTAAAAATAAAATAAATAATGATAATAGTGATAGTAATGATAAGAATAATAATGATTACAATAATAATGATAATAATAATGGTAATAATAATAGTGATGATAATAATAATATTAATGACGACACCAACAATAAGGAATCTAAATCATCAGTAGTAATTCCATACATAGTGGTAACCTCGGAAACCTTACGCAGAATACTTAACAAGGCTGGCAGGAATAAAAGTGGCATTCAAACCCACAAACTCAATTAGAAACAAGCTTTGTCGGTTAAAGGATCAATCCTGTGGAGCTTTTAAAACAAAACGATTTAGTTTATCTAATACCCTGCCGGGATGATTGTCAGGTCAAATACATAGGTCAAACTAGTAGAACACGGGCAGTGAGTCAGACTAGCCAAGCATAAAAACCTAGCAGCAAAATCTAGATTGGTTGACCCGAATACGATAATAAATCTGGAGAATAATTCAGCTATACCACACACTACATGTAATTGCACACAACCATACAATAGGATGGGATTGGACAGGATGACACTTTTAAAATCTAATGTCACAGGGTATAGGGAGAGATTGATAACAGAAGATTTGTTTATCGAATCAACTGCAAATACATGTAATAGGAATGATTCGACACCTGTCCATCAGATATCTGTAAAATTCTACTGCCCTTACGACAAATAGGAGAAAACAAAGAAAACCATAAAACTCAAATCTCGAAGTCGTGTGACCACAATTGATATGATTATGAACAATAAATTGTGTTCGAAACGTCATCCAGTATACAATACTGTTTCACTGTGTGATACATCTAATAATCATGTACTTTATGCTTCATTGGAGTGAAATGGTATCAAAAGACGTCTAGCAAATTATTCAATGAGTACATTTTAACTTCACAACACCATAAACTCGATAATATTCTCCTAAACAGTTGAGAACTTCAAATGTTGAATTGAATTTCTTCTGATTCCTGCTAACTTTTCAACATTATTATTCAGTCAATATTGTCTTTTCTCTATTTGTAGAGAATCTATGACAGCAAGTTTACTCTTCATATTTGCAATGGTTCAGTGTATATGTGGTTTTGTATTACCGATATGTGATTCATTTGGCATGAAAGGAGTTAAACCACGTGTCCACGGAGATCATAAATACTATTTAGAAGTAAGTTGTACATTATAATATATACCTATATCTATCATTCTAAGTTTATATTTGTTGAACTAATCACCTCAGCCATCTTTGTTCCAATAAGAAGAATAAGAAACCTAATCGAATCATCAAGTGCTGGTTTGCAGGAATTTTATTAGTTAAATGATTTCATCGTGAGTTGACATAGGTTAGAGAAACGTTAGAAAATCTGGAAGTACTGGAGAGCTGGTTCGTTCTAGTTTGGGTGTCTTCAACTTGCTCAATATACCGGATGGCCCTTGGTCCAAACCCCCTGTTGAAGAGTTGAAAACTAGGACAAAACGGCTGTCCAGTATTCCTTGATGGTTTTCCAGTGGCTTTCTAACGAGTGTCAGCTCCTGATGAAATCCTGTAATTAGTCAAATATGTTCTCAAACGAATCTGTGGTCTATGCAAGGGAGGCACATTGAACTTAGAACTGGAGTCCTCCTGAAACACCCTAATTCAGACTGGTTATCAACGGGTATTCATCAAGAAGACATATGAGAATAAGACTGATAAATAATCTGTAAAAGACAGAAGTACGAAGGAAGAAATTAGTTATAAAGGTGACATTAAAAATGAAATTGCTTGGAAAGGATTATTGAGAGCAACTAGAAAAAGGAAGTCTTCGCAGCACATTGGGGCGTCTCACTTTCTCCATCCAACCCCTTATTCATCAAAATGTCAGAGATAATGTTCGACTGTTGGCAACATCCATGAAAATATATTAATTCACTTGCTTCTGTGAGGTTAAATACTTAGACCGTACCAGTAAGATGTTGTCTAGACTTGCGCAAGAACCTCTCCCAGTATAGTTATCAAAAAGAGAAGTGCAAAGAGCTAACGTCTCACTTCTTCAGCATCTTGTTCTTACACATCATTCTTTATCAGTGGAAGTATCCCTTCAGGGATATATAAAGTAAAGCTATGAAGTTCTAAGCGTTTCCTGCCACACTTTCTAAATCAGAAGCTATACACAATAAAGTCCTGAAGTTCATATACACAAGATGAATGTCCAATCAATTTTATAACTGCAGCCTTAAACATCTCCTTATAACGTGCTAAAAGATCAATTTTTGTGATCCAGATTTATTCGTTGTTTTGTCAACTTTTGCTTTATTTTTTTTATCAAACTCCTGATTTTAAAATATACCTTGTATATATTGTGAATAATATTCCTGTTCTCAAGTGCTAACAGTTTTGGTAATAATTATTTGTCAGCCAAGTTAAAGTATAACAATCCAGAAGTGCGGATGTACCAATGACCTTGAAAGCATGCTAGTCATTGGACAGTGGAACCTACCATCATTATAGCGCCCTTATGAAGGAATTGAGATGCAAATTTAATAGCGATCTAGTTTTTAAGTATTGTTTTGATAATGCGTTGACAACTCGTTAGAGTCAGGATGTTTTATTTTTATTATCTGCATTTTGTACTAAGTAGTTGTCAATCCTGATGTAGTTGTGTTCTCTGAGCTGGATGGTTTATTTGCGAAGCTTTCATTGCCCCACCATTTGGCAAAATATCCTGAGCAAACTTCAGTTTGAACATTGTCCTGGCCGAAATGATGCTCGTGATTGTCTGTATGCAGAAATATGATTAAATGAATGTCATGTCTTTTGATGACTAGTTTGTGATCATCGATATGGAGACGGAGAGGACGTCCATTTCGTCGATCCACTTACTAGAACCCATGCCAACTAATTCAGTGGAGGGCTTTCGAAAGAAAACTGAAAACCAGGATAAGAGTAGTGAATAAACAGGTCACAAAAAGAACTCATTTTCAGTCGCGTGCATGAACAGGTGTACAGAAATTTCTCTAGCCTAAAAACTGATACTACTCATTATAACTGGGAGACACTAAGTCATATCATGAAAAAATATCTTGTTCAGTGTGTTTTATCATTTATCGATATAGATCTTTATCACTCTGAAATCAGTTTAGAAATCTTCTGAACTAAGCATAAAGAACAATATTCGGATTTTCAACACCAATGTGAGGTAAGTCAGTCACTTCTTCTACATGGGTCAGAAACTTGGCCAGTGAGTCACGAGAAGCATTTCCAACCAGTTACAGACTTTTATCAACAAGTGCCTTCGATGACTCCATAATGAATACCAAATTTAGAGAAAGGATTAGCAGTAGGGAACTTTGTGAACGAACCAACAGGCGGGTACCTACTGCTTAATAAATATACTGAAGCAAATAGAGATGGATCGGACACATGCCACGCTAGCCCTCGAATGGAACTCATATGAGAAACAACGAGTTGGTTGTGTGTCTGAGGGTGACATGGAGAAGATCATGTGAGGAGAAGATAAGAGACTGTGAGTTATCGTGGAACCAGGTGAAGAGGATCGCAAGAAATAGGACAAAGTGGAGATGTACCGTTGAACCAGGTGAGATGTTCCGCTTGGAACCCAAGGGAACAGTTATAATAGCCTATATTTGTCTAATCAGATTTATTTGAAACATTGATTACTAAATTTCACTGATGTCATTTGGTACCACTATGATAACTGAGATATCATGCAACACTGAAGACTGTCGAACAGCCAATAAATATATTTCAAGTAATTCCTTTCAAGCAAGTTACTTAAACACATCGTCATCACGAATAAGAAGACATAAGCGACAATGGCATGTTTTAAAAGCTTGCCTACCTAATTTTTCGTCCAACAAAATGCATTCAGTTTATTTCATTTCATATTGTTTTAATCGTCCAGTCCTTTGCCAACCATTATACGATTAAGCAACGATGGTCTTCTTTTCTCCTGTCAAATAGAGACCAGTTTGAACAAACAAACGATTCAATATTCACCAACATTGACAAAAGCAATTCATCAATGGATGGTTAATTAAGTACCAAACATCCCGTGGAAACACTACCAGTTACAAGGATATCAGTAATTCAAACTGACTTGTCGTAAATAGAATAAAACGCTCACCTTGGAGCCCATCGGAAACTACTACCAAGTTGGAAGTAATGGTAATTTCGAAGAATTTCATTAAGGAGCGCTTATATCTGAAGGAGGCCGATGATTTTGGTCTATAGATACCAAAAGTAGGATCTGTAATATAAATAGATAACACTAGGTAAAACAATTACTCAACACTCTTTACCATCGTTGATTTCTTGTTTTTTCCTTTCTTCTCATATCACTTAGATATTTCTAATTTCACAGTATTGTGGAGCAGTTCTTCTACTTGCCTATTTACAACTTTTAATACAAATTGGAACGAAAAAGCAGGCGAAATGTTCAGATTCTAATAAATCCACAAAGTCAAATAATTCATGTCAACTAGCAGATAATAAGAATATGAGTAAGTCATTTCAAATTGTATTCTTTTCTCAACATTTTTATACTCTCCATATATATACTACTCATTGAATGTAGTAAGAGTAGTCTGTTCATACACCTATAACGATCTAATTACATAAACGATTATGTAACCTTTCTGAGTATTTCACTTCCCTGAATTTGATGAATTACAGTCGATTCACGAAACATACTCATCCAGACACGAATATAAGAACAAACAGTTCAATGAAGAGTCTTTTTGGCGGCGAATCCATTCACTTAGCTGTGCAATTGCAGTTATATACGATAATTTGTTTATGTATGACATCACACTTCAGCCTATCTCTCTAGTGTAATCAAAATAGGAAGCAAAGAGTGGGTCATTGGTGTAAAGATAACATGAAGGAGATCGTGAGAGGAGGAGATGAGAGATTATGGGGAATCGTGGGCGCAGCTGAAGAGGACGGTAGAAAATAGAACAAAGTGGAGATGTGTTGCTGAAGTCCAATGTTCCACTCGGAGTCCAAGAGAATAATAATATAATAATTTTTGTATGTGTGTGTACATTAGATTTGATTACATGGAGGATTTCATTATCCGCTGACATCAGTTAGAAAACTACTGGAAAAACTAGGAGTACTGGACAGCTGTTTCGTCCTAGTTTGGGACTCCTCAGTAGTACGCATCCAACGGGGTTCGAAACCAGGACGTTCTGGTTGCAAGGCCAGCTAGCTCGTAGACTATTAAGCGGCCAATCACTGGGACACTATCCAATGGCCAACCCATGAATTCTAACTTCTGCCAATTCACGACATAGCACGACCATTTCGCAATGTCTTCTTCGATGAGTTACTGCCTCATCTTCAAACTGATGTCAGCTCATGATGAAATCCTCAATGCAATTAAACAAAGTTGCTACAAATCCAATAATTGAAAGTTAATCTGATGCTCACTAGCCACTGGCCTATTCAGGCAGTTAACCTGGGGTTCTAGTGATAAGTTGTGACCGGTAGGTACAGCAGGTTGAAGATGAGGCAGTAACTCATCGAAGAAGACATTGCGAAATGGTCGTGCTATGTCGTGAATTGGCAGAAGTTAGAATTCATGGGTTGGCCATTGGATAGTGTCCCAGTGATTGGCCGCTTAATAGTCTACGAGCTAGCTGGCCTTGCAACCAGAATGTCCTGGTTTCGAACCTCGTTGGATGCGTACTATTGAGGAGCCCCAAACTGGACGAAACAGCTGTCCAGTACTCTAGTTTTTCCAGTAGTTTTCTAACTGATGTCAGCTCATGATGAAATCCTCCATGCAATCAAACGATACCCTACAAATCCAATAATTGAAAATACATTGGATTTATCAGACAAGAATAAAATTTAGTGTGAGTTATTGTTTACGTCATTAAAATGTTCCCAGAAATGTGATGAATAATCGAAAGTGTAACTAGATGGGTGAAGAGTAGGTTTACACTAAAGTTACGTAATATGGAAAAAAGTTAAGAAAAATTGGATCTTACAGTTAATATTACTGTACAACACTGTGTGACACTTTATCAAAATAAAATCTTATCCATAATGGAGTTATATTCTACCACGGTGCCCAAGTTTTATACTTATATTACTGAAAAAGCATAGAGACAAATACCCAAATAAATTGTGCAGCGAATGAGAAGAATAAACAAGAAGTTAGTTAAGAATGTGATGACAATAAATGTCACCCGAAAAATCCGTGAATTGGTATTAATAACAAAATAATAACAGTTGAATTTGGAATTATACCCAGGGTAGAAGAAAGGGATGGAGAGGTTTCTTCTGTGTATATCAATCAAGGTTTTCCATCTGAATTGCTGAGGCCTTAGCAATGCAAAATTTAAGAAAGCTTGTCGTTGTCAGGAGGCTTCTGTTGACTGTAGAACTTCTGCCAACCACTTTGCATTTGGATGGTATGGAGATCCAGACATGTCGAAAACAGGGCGCAACATAAGTCCCCGTTTGTGAATTTTTGGTATTCTGTATAGTCGAGTTATTATTGAACCGATTTGTCGATTACCTCGCAGACATTTTCAGAGATAAGCTGATCACATTTTAGCTTTCTAAATATCTCAGTAGGTTGCATTTCAGGCATTTTTGCTTTGTCTTTCTCTCTACTAGGTGCAGCGAACTTGTTGTTGTCTGAAAAAATTGCCAGTATTTTATCAATATAGTCATTTTCTGTCCGTTAAGACTATGTCAGTAACTTAATAAGGGCGTGTGATCAACAACTCCTTGTTATGTCTCAGTTGGTCGAGTTGTTTACTGCATTCTTTAGTCAAAAGACGATTGCACTTAGACTTTGCATTGAGGTACCGATGGCATGAGCTTAGAATCGTTGACTTGAAACGTTCAAACTTCTGATCAGAGACTGGAAAAATTCATTAGTCCGACTGTTTAAATTTTCACACTCAATACGTGCATGGAGCTTGTCTTGGTTCATACTGCAGAATTTCGGCCCAACAAGCATATCTCTAGTTGTATGGGAAATAAAGTTACTGAGAATGACTGAACACAAGTTGAGAAGGAACTTCTGGACATTCACGTCGTATTTCAGCGGCTTTTAGACTCCTAATAGGTCTGAATGGATGGCATTTTTGCTCACCTCCGTAACCGCACTGACATAATCGGTTAAAGCTTGGCGTTCATCACATGACAACTCACATAACTCAAAGGAACGCTGTGCTATACTTCTCCCGCGTTCTCAGACACCTGAAAGAATGGAATCGATCTGGTTCAGAGTGTGACGTTCAAGAGGTTTCGAGCTAGGATAAATATGATTGTGACAAAGAGCCTTACAATACCATTCCGAATATCTACGATTATTTGTGCAATCCCGAGTAAACCGATCTTCACATTCACTTCAGAGTCCTTGACAGAATGGGGCGGAAACACATTGAGTTCCTTTACTGTCAAATGGTCCTTGTTAATTGTTGATTCACAAAAGATAATTATCCAGACATGAATATAACAGAAACATTCAACGAAGAGTCTTCTTTCGGTGAATTATAATTTATGTCTTCTAGAGTCGAGTGGAGGCGATGGTGTGAGAGGGAGATGAAAGTTTATGGACAGACGTAGCGGCCAGCTGAAAAGGACCACAGTAAACAGGATCAAAGATGGAGGGATGCTGCTGAAGCCCTATCTTCTACTTTGAACCCAAGACAATGACAATAATAAAGATTTACCAATAATTTAGCTGGGATGTATCATACATTCCAGTGTTCGATTACTGGTGACAATAACCAGGAAGTCGTGGATCTAAGTTTTCTACTTATTGACACTTACCCTCAGGGTTTGAATCCTAAAGGAGAAATCTGTTACTTCGGCGATGCAGATACTAAGCACAAAGCCTAGATTCAGGGTTTCCAAACACGTAATAGATATTCCTGTTTTCCTATGACTTTGTCTATGTGTTATTTGAAGGAACTAATTTGATTTCCCAATAGTCCCTCCAATCCATAAGAATAATGAAATTGTTTAATACGACTTCGATTGCTAATTCTGTGGTAATTGTACTGCCTACGGTACGTCTTTAAATGATTCCCGTATTAGTTAAATAGTTTATTCATTATTAAAGCTAAACTGCAATTTATATTTTGTAATCATTCTGTGTTTTCTTTATTGCAGTTATAAATGAACGTCATGAATTGACTGTACCGAACTTAGTAAGTTTACCTCCATGATAACTGTATGTTTCTGATTAACATTTGAATATACATTCAATGAAAGGGACATTTGTGAAGACAGTGGCAGTGTATAGAGGTACCAACTCATCATGGATACACTGTCGAACTCAGTTAAATACAACACATTATGATGGCTGAGATTGTCTGCAAGTGGTCGAAGAATTTAGATACAACAAAAGGAGGGCATAATTTTTCTGAAATGTATAATATATTTGTTATAGGATTTCATCACCAGCTGACATCAGTTAGAGAACCAGTAAAAAACCGGCACTCGAGTAGGTGAATAGCCAGCGGTTTCGTCTTAGTCTGGGACTTTCGTCACGGGCCATTGGATCAGGTCTCAGTGGCTTCATAGTCTACAACCTCACTTCATAACCAGAAGGTCCTGGTTCAAACATGGCAAGCAGACTTCTTCAGACTACAGAACCATGCATTTAACCCTATTAGACGCTGACGGTATATGTTACTTTAAAACTTAAAACTAGAGAAGGTGACTCTTCATTTTCACCTGCTTTTATGGCCGCCTAAATCACTACAGCGGCGAAACCCGACATGCTATGGTCTGAATGCAGGAAACAAATCGTTGTGTTCTACTCTATGTCTAAACAAAACTTTCCGAATTACGCACAGTCTTAAAATGTCACGACGATAGTAACAAAAAAGTTATATATGCGATAAAATCTGTGGTACTATTTGATGACAATAATAACAATAAGAACAAAACTCAAATTACCTCAACAATACCGTCAGGTAGCCATACAAATCAAATTAGTTCTCAAAAATAAAACAGTTGCTGCAAAACAAAATTAGTTAACCGAAAATCATCCTTAAGAAGTAATTGAGAATCAAGAAGAATATTCCATGTCTGCAGGAATTATTCACCAAATACTTCCGGCAAACAGTTCAAGATTCGAATCACAACGGCAAAACTTGACTTCATTTAAACCAAATCACAACAGCAAAGAGAACCATTTGATTACATGATTTCATCATCAGCTGACATTGGTTAGAGAACCATTGAAAAACCAGCTGGGAGTACTGGACAGCTGTTTCGTTCTAGTTCAGGACTCTTCATCAATATGTATCCACCCCACCAGGGTTCGAATCCAGGACCTTCTGGTTACAAGGCAAGTAAGCTTGTAGACCATTAAGCCACTGGGACCCTATCCAATGCCCAGCCCATGAATGCTAACTTCTGCCAGCTCACAACATAGCGCAACTGCTAGCCAAAGTTTTCGGTGAGTATTTGTCCTCACACTCAACCTGCTGAACCCTACTGGTGGTCACGCCTTCCCACTAGAACACCAGGTAAAACTACCTTCCTGATGAAATTCTGTAGCTAATCAATCAAATCCCTACAGACCAATACTTGAATAACCATTTGGACTAGACACTGAACTGTAACAAAGACAAATAATAAGCATTAAGCCTGCGGGTGATATGCAAACGTTAGAACGATAATGTAAAGCCAAGGGCGAGAGGGGATAATAATTACAAAGTTTATTGAAATATCCAAATAAATAGGAACATCGTATAAATAGATCATCCAGGAGGGATTTCACAAACAATTATTCCGTTAAAACCAGATAAGTTTGCTTCTTGAACACCAGCTGTTCAAGAAATGGCGATGACTTTCATCAAACTATGTCAGATGCATTTTAAAGTGCATAAATGAACAGCATTCAACACGGACAACAGGCAAAGAACCGTTGAGAACCAGAAGGTATATGGTAGCTATTCTATCCTGGTCAGATATTTCAGAATTTACTAAATGGCAAAATACTTTGTTTTTAACTTGTAGATCCTAAGTGAAATCCCTAAGGCGTCCATGGGTACGTACCGTTCATGAGTCCTGAAATGAGAAAAAACAGATGTCCAGCAATCTTTAGTTTTCAGTGGTTCTTCCCAATGATATCGGTTTGTCCTGTAATCCACATTGAAAACAATTGAATTCCTACAAATCACCACTTGAAATCTAATAGAGGCTATTAGGAAATAAAGTGTTAATTATTAAGGTGTAGCGGGAGAAGTAGAGACTAGCTAACGGTGTGTTTATTTGCAATTATTTGACGTACACACATATAGGGGAGTTATATACACCTTATATTAGAATTGTCATTTGCACAGATCTTCTATATGTACTACTTCTACCCTTCTTATTGTGTATCTTTGGCGATATGTTTGTTAACAATAATTTGTCAGTATCAACATGTTATGGAGGGAGAGGTATTAACCAAAAAATAATTAAAGGGTAGGGAGTGGATTGCATAACTCATAATTTTAGAAAAATGAAGAGTAATTATGAAATAAGCGAGTGTTCAATTAGATTACGTGACAGATAGATTAACGAAAAATAAAATTATTTTGGCAATGTTAATTTTAAAAAGGCTTAGGGTCATGAAGAAGTTATCCAGTTTAGGAATTCATGTAACGATGGACAAAGTAAGGAAAGTGGCTTTTAGAATTTCTGCTGAACACAAGTTTGGCTTCTTCACGTGGATGTAGAAGATGAACTCATAAAGTAACATAAAGATTTAATTGAATTTTAGATTTTCCCGTCGACTGATTGTGCCGAAGTGCTCGGTCTCAGGTTGACATGTCGACTTCCTGTGTAGATGCTTTGACGATGTCTGGGCATGTAATTCAAATTTAATTGGTGGATGGTGACTAGCAGTGGGATCCAGAATGCTCATTACGTCCACTGCTAGTCTCCATCCACCAATTAAATTTGAATTACATGCCCAGACATCGTCGAAGCATCTGCACAGGAAGTCGACATGTCAACCTGAGACCGAGCACTTCGGCCCAATCAGTCGACGGGAAAATCTAAATTTCAATTAAATTAATATGACCCGTTGCGCAAGAGGTGGTTCTCGTGGCCCAAGTGGTCTAGTGGATAACGCTTTGGCGGTTGGAGCTATGGGTACTGGGTTCAAGCCTTGGTGGAAACATCATCACTCACTGAGAAATGCAGGTACATCCAGATGACGGGTCCCAAATAGGGTGAAATGCGCCACCTGGATTCTACTGCTAGTCACCATCCACCAATTAAATTCTAATTCAACATTAATATTAGTTGGAATGCGATAAATAACTTCTAATGCTGTATAAACAACATCAACGTTATGCTCACTGTCTACAAAGTGTGCTAAAGCAGAGCTACGAATAGATCTCGTTTTTTCCATTGCTTAACCATGTAGGATGATGATCGGAAATATGAAAATGATGAACCTGTCTAATTGTATGCCCAATGTAGGTGGCTCAACAGCTGCAGTTGAAATGGTAGATACACAGAGAAGAGGTGAAATCAGGTAGTTTGTTCTTATTTCTCGAACGTAAAACGGGAGTGGTGGTGAAGAGACTGTGTACCTCTGCTTCAATGAATGTTCTTTCAGTTGAAATCTTCAGGCTCTGTGTAACTGTTACGCAGTTTTATGAACACTGAAGTTCTTGGAGCTGTTATCCTACTGGTTTCTTTTGGTGGCAAATACAAATTTCCCCTTACCTATTACGTGATGAACTTGAACACTGGCATATTGTTTAATTACTCTTGAATTTTCCAAAATTACTCATTATGTTATTCAGTTGTTGTAATCATTTCTACCGTTTAATTGTGTGTCTTAATTGTTTTCGTTAATTATCATCCCAGCTGTCTGTCTGACACGTTGATGCGGACTAATTTTTGTTAACAAACATATCGTCACTTCATGGATAAAGTGTTGTGTATTGTATTAAAAATGCTGTGGATATATTAGAGTAAGAGATGAGGATCAATTTGAAAATTGAATATTTCATCGTTCAATCCTTTTGCCTTTTAAATGTCTGAATGTGTATGCGTATATTGATCGATTGATTTTTGTTTAAAATGAACTCTGTGCAAGTATGTCAAAATTGTTGTTGTAGATATATTTAATAATGTCTTTGCATGTAAGCAGCTGACAAGAAGGCGACGAAATAAAAGATGGTACTACTTTATTCTGCTAAAACTGTAGTTTTTGCTTTGTTCAAATTCATTAAGGGGAATAAATGTATGAAATGTTAAAAGTGTAATAAAACTATGAACTGCCATTGTTGCTTGCAGCTGCTTTGATATACACCAACGCAATAAAATGAATCCGTTTTCATCCTACTCTACGTGATATATTCCTGTGCGTCGGTGGCACAGTGGTTAGTACACTCGCCGACCATGCACATGGTCCGGGGTTCGATGCCGGCCAACGCACGAGCGATATCCATGGGCGGCCTGCTAAATTTGGGTTACCGAAATCATATGTTGAAAATTCCATACTTGTATCAAAAATACTGTGTGCAGGCAAGGTGCAATAATAAAATTATAAATAAATAAATTATTGCTTTGTTCAAATTTTGTTGTTATTATCCTTGTTCCCTTGGATTCCAGTTGGAACATACTGCCTCAGCATTACATCTCCACTTTGTCTTTTTCTCTACGGTCTTTGTAAGCTGGCCCAACGATTCCCTATCGTCTCTCACCTCCTTATCACACGATCTCATCCATGTTAACCTCAGAAACAGGCTCAACTCGTCATTTCCCAGTTGACTTCAACTTGAGGGCTAGCCCGGTGCGTGATTTCATTCAACGGTTTCTTCAGTGATGTGTGCATCCGATCCTTTATTTAAATTAAGCTATATTAATTGAGATGATATACACTCCTTAGGAAATTAATTAACGAATTAATTCTTCAAAAATTTTTCTATTTCATTTTTAGACATTAATACCAAGTGATGTGAATCATTCACCGACAGCAAGTAATTCTGATAAAATCTCTGATATTGAATCGACAACAAGTGAAAGACAGTATACACCATTAATTCAATTTTATAATAATAAAAATGTCTACATTTCATGGCATCCAGAAGGCATGAATTTATACATGCGTTTAGGTGCAGTTGGTAAGTTGGTCTGTCTTTTAGACAGACTGTATATAATTGTTTAATTTTACTCGGTCTAATTGCTTACTCTCTGTTGACTCACTGATTTGTAGTATGAACGTTCTAACTATGCCGTTAGACTAATTTGAGGTTATTCAGCTGGTTCATTAACTAAGATGCCGAAATATATAGCTGACGAGTCCCAAAAAGGACGAAACACTTGTGTTGAATTCCATTGCCAGTCGTTATCGATCAACTTTAAACTGTGTATTTATAGAACTATCTAGTGGGACATAAAATAATAAAAATAATTTTTCCTTCACGTTCCCCAGTGGAACATAGGGCTTCGAGCTAGTAGCTTGAAGTTTCTGTAGCAGAGTTTATTTTACAGGATGGGGTTGCTAGCCTCATGCCCAACCTTTGCTCTTTACCAAAATTATTTCTGGCTTAGAGAGGTAAAGGTGTGCGTCGGCCGGGGATCTAACCCCGGACCATGTGCATGGTCGGCGAGCGTCCTAACCGCTATACCACCGACGCATATCTAGTGGGACATAGTTTATCTTAACTTAACACCTTGCAGGCGTAGTATTCATTTCTACCTGTCTCATTAGCAGCACCAGTTTGATAAAAGATTATTTACCAGTGTCTGGTTCTATTCAGGCAGATAGTTACCTGGGGTTCTAGTTGGAAGCCGTGACCAGTAGGGCACAGCAGGTTAAAGGTAAGGCAGTAACACATCGAAGAAGACATTGTGAAGTGGTCACGTTATGTCATGAATTGGCAGAAGTTAAAATTCATGAGCTAGCTATTGGATTGGGTCCAAGTGACTTAATGGTCTACAAGCTAGCTCGTCTTGTAATCAGAAGGTCCTGAGTCTGACCCCTGGTGGTGGGCACGAACTTCCGGAGAGTTAGAAACTAGGCTGACGAAACAGCTGTCCAGTACTCCCTGCAGGATTTCCAATGGTTCTCTTACTGATGTCAGCTCAAGATGAAATCCTCCAACCAATCAAACAAAATCCCTACAAAAATCAATACTTGAAAATAATAATAATAACAGCAGTAGGCTTACATAATAAAATGAAGTGAAATTATAGTGAGAACGTTACTCTGATCACGGTAGGGTGAGTGAATGTATTTATTGATTTCGACCGCAGAGGTCCGATTTCAGGCCCCCAAATAGGCTGTGATTCAGATATGGCATATTCTGTGTAACATTGTGAAGCAATCATACGGAGATGCCTGTTATCCAGAGTTGGCAAGTTGTTCGAGAATATATCTACTAGGATTCGTCTTTCCTCCTCTGGCTAGCCAGGCTTAACAGTGTTCCAGAATACGTTTGTGGACTTGACGTTGTGCAGGGACGATATACTCTGCTCCACATTTAGGTTGCCGAAATCGGTGCCTTGTCCTTAACGTTAGACTGGAAAAATTGTCTGCTGGAGAATATCATGCGTATGGTGGCTGCTTGAAATGTCTTCATCAGACATTTCTGCTTTGATGTCACGTTTGAATTGTAGGTTCATAAAAAGAGTTTTCTTATAAACGGTTTTGCTATATTCAGCGACAGGGATTCTTCCTACACCTTTGTGCCAATAAATGTGGGTGGACACTCGTTCTCCATTGGGGTGGGTTTCACGTAATGATTTTAATTCATTCCTTATCGTATCTACCCTTTTTTTTTCTAATTTCCAACTAGTCATCCCCTCCTAGATTACACCTCATACACACTATGTAATGCACTTTCTACAACAAAGTTACCAGTATCTGTCCGACTGGTCTTAAGAATTCTTTGTTAAATATATGAATACGATAGTCTGTCTGTCTGGATTCAACATACAACTTGGCACCGAAGTGCAGCACTTCGAGTTGCCATGTTCCAAATACCACACAAAGGTAGACAAGAAGATGACTGAAGAGAATCAATAGAGTTTGACAAGTATGAGTGTGAAACAGAATGGGTAGTGGTAGAAAGGAATATGAAAGATTACAGAGACTGAATACATCTGCGCTGGCCATTGACAACGATTTTGAGCCATGTCACCTATTGTCTCCAGCCATTGATTCCTAGAGTCCCGAGGGCCCCAACCCGGAAGTCTGAATCTCCCTACCTGACTGACTCAGTTTAACTGTCAAGGATTTCATGGATTGATGAGGCCATGTTTTTGTTTCGCCACCACTGGCTCTTTTCCAACCTGCACCTATATCAGCTAGTAATGCCCGTCGGGGGAGGCGATGGTTAGGCATGCGCAGCACGATAGTACAGTACCTTATGAAAATGAATCGTCCAAAAGAAAATTCTCTTCTTCAATGTTTACATCTTTCTCTTATAACAGATTTGGGTTAGCAATTATTTGACAGAAAATCCTAAGCAAAGACTCCAGGTATGTTGGCGCTTATCAGTGAATTAAGTAGTTTGACAAAATTTGAGTGATTTGAACTGATTCATTTCTCTGAGCTCAGTCTAACCGGATGCACTGCTGATCATGTCAGTCTTTAATGAAAGACACAACAAGCTAATATTCAGATCATTTTGATCTGACTAGCCAGCAAACACTAATGGTTGATGTGTGTGTGTGTGTGTGTTGAATATCTACTCATATCAGTCAGTCAGTCAGTAGTACATAGTGCCAAGTGTTTTTGCTCAGCAATCAAGTCAAAATTTCCTATCGTCCTTGTGACAGTTGAGGTATTACATTAGAACAGAGTGCATATCAGTTAATCCCAGTTCATCACGCACCTGGCTAACAGAGCAAATTACGAACGTGACTATTAAATGCTTGGAATAAATGCAGTGGTTATTTGGTGATAACGGTAATAACAGTAGTAATGTTGTGACGACAGAAGACAAGGGCCAGGCAACAGATAGTTTCCATTGTGGGTAAATTTTGTTTAGATAAAGTCTCACAGTGTTATACAGTAATGTTTACTGATGACCACGTTTCGAGCACAATTTATAGCCGCTCATAATCATATCAAGGTAATCACACGACTTCCTAAATTCATTCATATAGTTCCATTATTTTTCACTTGATTTGATTGGTACTAGTGTTTTCCATATATCCGGTATGAGTGATGAATCATTTCTATTGCATGTGTTGGGTGTAGACTCGATGAACAAGGATTCAGTAATCAACCTCTCTCTCCATCTACATAAATTACTTTTTAGAATTTTAACACTCTCTCACCCTTTTGTGTGGTTGTGTGGTAATACATGCAATGCAATCGCTGCTGAGCTTTTTTCCAAATTACTTATCTTCTTGGGGTCAACCGTTCTTACCTTAGCTAAATCCTTGTTCATCAAGTCTACACCCAACACATGCAATAGAAATGATTCATCACTCATACCCGAAATATGGAAAATGCTATTACCAGTCAAATCAAGTGAAAAATAATGGAACTATATGAATGAGGTTAGGAAGTCGTGTAATTACCTTGAAATGATTATGAGCGGCTATAAATTGTGCTCAAAACGTCATCAGTAAACATTACTGTATAACACTATGAGACTTATCAAAACGAAATTTGCCCACAATGGAATTACCTTCTACCACAGTGCACAAGTTTTATTCTTATATCAACAGATAGTTTATTGAGAAAATCAGCAGATATTTAAAGATTTTTATGTACATTATTATTCGTTATTGTTAACAGAGAAGCAACCTCTTCTGATTGGTTGTTTTCATACTGAAGGTTACTCTGTCATCATTTTGTTGCCGTTTCTTAGACAGTCCGTTGATATATCTGCTAATCGCATCCTCTCACGCTAAGTCTGCTGTGATTAGTTGTTAAGTTAGTCTCTGTTCTTGTTCTTTTCTCATGACCAAGATTTGGGATGTAAACATTGGCGTAAATTGTTGTCTACCAATTTTGGCTAACAGACAGCTCTCACTACAATATCAGTACTGAATAAACTTCAGTAAGAATTTCAAACGCTCTTGTACTCTGAATATGAAGGAGTATGACAGGTATAAATGCCCATACACAGCCATCAATAGGTGACCTTGAGAATGCATTTCTTTATTTGAGATTTTATCAATGAGTACAGTACAAATTTCACGTTATCCTGCATTTCCTATCTTGAAGAGAGCTTTTTCTTAAAATAAATTTTTTTAAACTCAACCCTGTTGATTTAAATCTTGCGGTGATTTCCATTTGAATTTAAATTCTTTCAATATTCAATTGTACACTTAAGTGGTGAACTAATACAAACTTGAATGTCATTCAACAATGTATTTATGTTAACATTTAAGCTTATCACACTAAAGAAATAATATATTTCATTGGATTTATTGAACCAGTTACATTTTATGATAAGCTTAAAAAACAGTCTTGTTTTAAAATAAATCATAAATGTCTATCAATTCATATTTCTCATCTATAAATAATGATGACACTAAATGCAATAAGAAACAGCTTGTTTGCTGATAACTTAAACAGCATTCACTCTTGAACACAATGGTTTTGTTTAAATTTATTAGATCAATATTTAGTAAATTATTTGAAATTTCTGCAAATATTAAGATTCATTTAAGGCTAGCAAACTCTATTTAGTTTATTAATTTAGTATACAAATGAATATCTATGAATAAAATTGGTAGTAGGTGTCACATTCTTCATGTCAACCTAATCAAAAAAGACTCTCGTGGAAACTTTGAATGACGGTTACTAAAATTTAATAAATCTGATGTAGGCTAAGTTGACACCAATCAATACTTTTTCTCAAATACACAATAAAACAAAACCTATCACATTATACTCAAAATCCTTCGAACTCTGCTTTTCAAACTATGACATTAAGATGTTAAAATCCACACGTCACAAGTCAAAAGTTTCGGCTCGTAACCTTAAGATCTGGAGACTTATCACCAGTGGTGCTTCGCATGTGCAATTCTGAATATTCACATAACTAGGATGAAACAGCTGGTTTCTCAATGATTCTCGGAATGATATCGGTCGGTAACGAAATCAATGGTGGGAATATATCCTCAGCCTTTCTCTTTTACATTTCAACTTACTTATCTCATATTAAGTAGCTACACTCAAAAGCTAAAAATAACATTTATCATTCATGTAGGTTTTGGACTAGGTGTTATGATTCATGATGGTTTCAATCTATCTTCTGTCTGGGAAGTCAGTGCACCAATATGTCATAGTAAATTATGGATACCAAAACATATAATCAGAATAATATGGGTTCTGTGGCAAACATACTTCGTGTTCAAATATCATAGGGTAAGTTTATTTTTCTCGCTTTATATGTTCGCTTCTCACTTATTTACATTATTATAGCAAAAAGTATCAGAAAGGTTTTCAGTCAGCTTAGAAGAGGATTTCCAAAATGCTTAAATAAAAGGGCAGGAATGTCTCTTCCTAAGTAATTATACATTCACAGGAACAGTAAAGAATAAACACCACAAATAAATGACCTTGAACCAATCAATCAGATCGCTCAGCATAACAAATCGATGCTTTCCATAATCTTCGTTCGAAGTATCATCTTGATTCTGGGTTAATGTTGAGGTGGGATGAAGGTAAGGTTATGATCAAGGTAAGAGTGAAACTTACAACGAAAATAAAAATTGCAACTAAGATTATGAAAAGCATGTATTTGTAACTCTCAGCGATTGGATCGGTCTGTTTCACATCATTTGAATGTGGTGTTTGTTCTTTACTGTTGCCATATGCACTCATCAAGCAAAGAGATCGATAATCGGGGCCTGAAAAAATCATAGTTTGATACTGTTAAATAACCTTAAACCTAAACATGCCACTTGTTACTTCCCCCGTTTTCCCTACTCATTGTTGTAATGACAACTTAAATAACCGCTTAATGCTTTCAAGTACACATACACTTCTTGTCCTTCTGCAAACAGAACGTCAGAGGCAACAGTTTGAGGATGTTTTACAGATTCACTAAATATCCAAAACTGTCGGAATCAGCGTATGTGAATACTTACTTTTTCCTATGTACATACAGGTAGAAAAATTAAGTATACTCAAGACACCATACGTCCGAAAATTGGGCTAATTAATAAACTAGGAACTATAATCTGTAAGTCCTTCAACCAAATTGGAGAACCACATGGAGTATTTCACCATGTGGTGACATCAGTTAGAGAACCACTGGAAAACCTGAGAGTACTGGACAGCTGTTTCGTCTTAGTACTCCAGTACTCCCAGGTTTTCCCGTGGTTCCTAGCTGATGTCGCCACATGGTGAAATCCTCCATGCAATCAACCGAAATCCCTACAAAACCAATACTTGCAAATTGGAGAAGTTTGGTCGCGGATTGATATTACTTAGACAACCACTGAAGTTCTGGAGAAAAGTATGACCAGTGGGGTCCACCCGGTCGGCAGTGAAGACAAATACTCGCCTGCGACAACACATTGGCTGGTCCCAGTCCTGTTAAAATCACAAATTGGTAGAAGTTAGAATTCGTGGACTGATTATTGAGGAGTCAGGTGTCAATGTCTGAATTGTCTACGAGCTCCCCTTGTTACTGGAGGGTTCTGGGTTCCAACCTCAGTGGGGTTGTTGCGTACTAGCGATGGGTCCCCAACTAGGACGAAAAAGCTGTTTGGTACTCCCTGGTTTTCAATGGTTCTCTAACTGATATCACTCCATGATCAAATGCGAGAAAATCAAATCTCTACAAACAAACTCTGGCAAATTGGAGAAGTAATGAGTAAAACTGATACATTGGTGAACTACATATTCGTCAGGAATTTCATCTTGCCTAGTCTTACGAACTGATAGGATTATGTTTATTGGAATTACAGTGACACAGTAACACAATTTCCATGGTTTGGCAAAGGGATTCTAACTGATCGCGATAAACCCTTAAGCTAAAATCCCTCCTTGTTGGAAATTCACCTTACGGATGAAAGCTCATAAGAGCGAAATTCGAAATAAAAATTCCTGAATAATAATAATAATAATAATTGCTTTATTCCAAAAACAGTACTCATGATACAGCAAGGAATTTTCAGCATTCAGTACAATATTGCATCTAATTTACCCAAAAACGACAAAAAAAAATAAAATACACAATACATAATAGTAATAAAACGATTGTTGTAGCAGCTACGTAGCAAAATACTGTGTGCCATACGGAGAAAAATATGTATAAAGTACAAAATTGTAGTAATAATAGTAATACCAACTAATATAAAATAGCAGAGTAACGATTTAAACGATAGAAAGTGTAACACCATAAAATACAGAAAGATGAACGATAAAAGGGTCGATTCACTGTGCTAATTACATAGTAACTTGTAAGTTTCACGTCTAACAGAGTCTTCGTCACATAAAGTACGCGCTAAATAGGGTATTGTAGAATTTCTATACTTAGTAGTACGAGCATATATCTTTTTATATTGACTTCTCGTCCTACCTGATGAGATACAAGGGGACAGGTGTGAATAAAGGGGGTGCAGAGGGTCTGACATTATAGCCTTTGCCCATTTCGTACAGGAATTTATATGCCTCTCGACTATAGTATTAGCGAGCTCATGCAGTGGCAGACCACAAGCTCTACTCACAGCATTTAATACTCTTCGTAATATGATATAATCTTTTTTGAGCAGCCCAGGAAAGATTAATGGAGAGCAGTAGAGTACAATAGGTAAAATACAGGAGTTTAAAAATTGCAAAACTAAAGGTTGGTTGATACCTGATTGTCTTAACTTTTTAATGTAGAAGGTAAGACGAAACATTTTCTTAGAGATAGATAAGATATGGGATGACCATGAAAGGTCAGAGGAAAAAACTAGTCCAAGGTATTTAATACTTGATTTGGTTTCAATTTCCGTGCCATCTATGCTACAGGGATCATGAGAGTTAACTAGTTCAAGTAAGTCACGTCGATGCTTGAAAGTAAAGTCAAGCACCTGACATTTGGAAGGATTTAATATAAGACCATTTGACTTGGACCAGTTGTTGATGTCCAACAGAAAGCTATTAAGTTTGGAGCTGTCAGACTCGGAAGTGATAGGCAGTGATACAGTCAGATCATCTGCATATTTGACAAAGTTAGTTTCGTTTGAATGAGGCAGGTCATGTAGGAAGAAAGAAAAAAGAAAAGGAGAGAGGACAGCACCTTGTGGAACACCGGATTTTGTAAGCGAGGTAGAAGAAGATTTGCCGTTATATACAGTATACTGCATTCTATCAGAAAAATAGGAATGCAACCAACTCTTAGCCCAGGATCCTGTTTGTGTCAACGATAGCTTATTTAATAAAAGGCCCCTAGGTACAGAGTCAAAAGCAGATGTGTAGTCTAAGAAAGCACTACGAACATATTTAGCACCTTTGTCTAAACAAGAGACAACATTGTGATATAAGACAACCGCAGCATCCAAGGTACTTCTACCATGTTTGTATGCAAATTGTTTAGGATCATTAAAAGGTTTCAAAGCGGGTTCAAGACGAAGTAAAAGTAGTCCTTTTTTATCCCTCAAGCATTCAGTACTGTGCAATATAACGTTAATTCATTTCAAATGAGTAACACAACAGGATTAATCGAATGAAATATTCATGAAATTCTTCACTAAAACCTGAGAATACCCTCAAATTTGTGATAAATGAAATAATTCAAACAAACTCCTGAAAACAAGATTTTTGCCAGAACATCTTAGGTTAGATCTTAAGAATATAAACAGTGGTAGTTTTCCCTGAGTAAAAAAACAGTATGCAGTAGATTCTCCTGCTGATCTGGATTGTAATTCCTAATTCTTATTTGATAGTTTATGAGTAAAACTCCTCGACACCACTTCATTTCTGTCCGATCAGTTCAGTGATAATGTCTATAAAACTAGTTAGTGATAGATTTGATTCACTGAAGTGGATGTAAATTCCTTTAAGGTTTCATATACCTCTTTCAAATAAGCGCCAGCCAACAGGAAATTTAGATCCTGGTCCTCCCACTGATTGCCTTCGGAGATGTATCTCATTGACCTAGACGCTTGACTTTCGCCTTATGGGTTTCTGTTTCGGATCGAGCTGTACCTGCTAATTCAGCCTGATCTACTCGACAGTATTATTCGTCCTCACACCAGAAGTGTGGTGGCTCATAGCTCTGTACTTGAGAATTCTATTCATAACAGCTCAACTTTAACAACTTCATGGTACCAGCTTCTGCTTACTGTCACTGATGCCATTCATCATAGTTCTGTCTCTTCTTGGGAAGTCAAGTGCATGTGTGTTTTCGTGGTAAACTATCAAACTGTACTCGCCTGAGTAATGATTAGACTTTAAGTGCTTTTGTCTAAAAACTCTTGAAACATTCAACTCCCGTATTTATTCTTCCCCATCATTTGCATATATATCCCTTCATGTCTGAACTTTATGTTTCTTTTACGATTTTAAATCTTTATCGTTCACTGTTAAATTCTAAATTATGACCAACAACCTACTGAACAGACAGTTAACTATCTATGATAGTTTTGCTTCGTATGCTACGTATCAACTAAATAGTAATCAGCAAAAAGGTGTGGCGGTGGCACAACAGTAAAGTGCTTGCCAATCACGCAGGTGGTCTAAGGTTCGATCCACGGCGATCCGACGCACTCCTTCACCTAGCTAAGCCAGTAGTAAGACTGATAAAGGCAGAAGGTGAGCATGAGGCTAGCAACCCGCATCCTGTAAAAATGATCACCACTGCTACAGAAACTTCAAGCCTCTAGCTTGAAGGCACCCTATGTTCCACTGAGAACGTAAAGGAATAAAAAATAGTCAGTAAAAACAGGACTTCGAATGAACATAGAAAAGACGGAGGTAATGAAGATAACATCGACGCCTAGTTTAAAAATAGGAAGTGAAGTGGTAGAGCACGTTGACTGCTTCACTTATTTGGGAAGTACCATCAGCCCCAACGGGTTGATCTCTGACGAAATCTCAGCACGAATACAAAGGGCTCGTTTCGCATTTGTTAGTTTACGCCGACTCTGGCGTAGACGAGATGTTCGACTATCGACCAAAGGGCGGGTGTACTGCTCATCAGTCCGTTCCGTCCTCCTTTATGGCCGGCTGTGAGACCTGGCCACTGAGAGTGGAAGACATGAAAAGACTAGCTGTCTTTGATCATAGGTGCCTGCGCTCTATTTCCCGTGTAAAGTGGCATAATAAGGTGAGCAACATTGAGGTTAGGCGTCGAGTTCTAGGTAAACAGGGGAAATCAATCGACTAAGTCGTGAAGTTACAAAGACTGAGATGGTTAGGACATGTGTGACGTATGCCAAGTCATCGCCTCCCTCGACGAGCAATGTTAGCAGATATAGGGTCAGACTGGAAAAAAGCTAGCGGCGGTCAAACAAAAACTTGGCATCAGTCAATGAAATCCACAACAGTTGGTCTAAGCCACGTAGGAAGGTGTAGACTTCCTGACTGGTTGGGGTCCTCGGGACGGTAAAAATCTATGGTTGGAAACAATTGGTGACATGGCTCAAAATCGTTCTCAGTGGCGCAGATGCATCCACTCCTTGTGACTTATGATCTTCAATGAAACTGTTTTGTATTTCTTTATTACTCCTTTGTCTCACACCTCTGCTCACTGTTTCTATTATGCTTTTCTTGTACTTTCTTCTCTTGCTTCGCGTGCTACACGGAATGTGGCGACTTGAACTTCCGCACATTTGTGCAAAGTTCTATGTCGAAAACAGACAGACAATGAAGATAACCAACCAACAAACAAACAAACAAACAGCAACAAGTACCAGTCACTATTAGACGAATAAATTTAAAAGAGGTCACTTCCTTCACTTATCTAGGAGGCATCATTTCAACTACCGGCGGAACAGATGTAGATGTCAAAACCAGAATCGGAAAGGTGAGGCACACCTTTATCATCCTGAAATCAGTGTTGAAATCTTCTTCAGTCAGCATAAAGAATGAAATTTCGGATTTTCAACACCAATATAAAGACAGTCAGTCCTTTTATATGGGTCAGAAACTTGCACTGAGCGTCACGATAAGCACTTTTAACAAGCCAGTGCATACTTTATCAACAACTTCCTTTGGTGGCTCCATACTGAAAATCAAATGTCCGGTTAAACATAGTTAGCAGCGAACACGTAACTCTGGTAGCAAACTAACCAAGAACCTACTGCTTAGCAGAAATGTAGAAGAACATGGAGAAGGGGTTGGACACACGCCACTGAGGAGACTGTCGAACGTCATCGCGCTCAGTACAGGCCATCACTCGAGTGTAACCCGAATAGAATAAGACGATTAGGTCATGGTTAACAACAGAAGACAAGGGCCAGGCAACAGATCTTTTATTATGAAAATCAACACGTATTTATACATATTTCACATACATTATTATAGACAAGCGCAGTCATCTGATTGTTGTTTATCAGATGTTAGGCAGACAAACGCAGGCTTCTGATTGGTTGTTTCGGGATTCCTTGACAAATAGAGTTCTCTATCTGCGAATCATATTTTGCCACGTTAACTTTGCTGTGATTGGTTGTTGACTCAGCCTTGTTCATATTTTCTCACCCCATATTAACGTAGCTTAGTGTCAACCAATCGGCTAGCAGCCTGCTCTCACCACAATGGATCCGAGGGTGACATGTAGGAGATCATGTGGGCAGGAGGAGATGAGAGACTATGGGCAATGGTGGAACAAGATACAGGGAACCGCAGAAAACAAGATACAGCGGAGATGTGCTGTTGAAGGTCTATGTTCCACTGAGAACTCAAAGGAACAATAATAATTAACAAATAAAGCTGAGAAATAAGAAATCTGAACACACTGCTGATAAATAATTACAACTCAACATACACTATTATATCGATTAACTCATTAGTAGGTAGTATTACGAAATTGATCACCAGTCATTGATTACCAGTCAGACAAACAAACTGATTTGTATTTTGAGTATTGGCCTATTTCTAATTAACCATTTAAGAGTAATTCATACTAAGCACAGTTATTTCTTTCCTTCTTTACTTATATATTTGTGTATAGGTTATCTTTCATAAACACAGAGTAGCAGTCCGTTTTGCCTATGCACATTTAGCTACAATCAACTTTTGTCATTGGCTTAAAGTTGTTGTCGGGGAAGTTGCACAGACATTAAAAACAACTAATCCAAGTCATCCTATTCAGATGATAAAACTTTCGACTGGAAATCATAATTATGTAAGTTTTTATTGTAGGTTTTCTGAGAAATTTTATTAAGTTTTTTTTTCTTTTTTTTTGTATTTAACATTCCACTATCAAACTGGACGTTATTATCAATGCGACTCAACTTTACTTTATATGAGAGATTTGAAAGTCAGTTTATCACTGTAGTCCCCAGTCAATGAACTTAATATATTTACTCTGCATTTATTAACAAGCTCACTGCCGTATTGTATAGGATGTCATATTTACGTCGGATTCTATACATACAGATTATATCAACATTACAGCTCATAAAAGACCTATGTTGGGTCTATTATTATATTAATATTATTTCCTTTTATTCCTAGAGGAACATAGGGATTCAGCTGCACGTCTCTATTGCGTTCAGTTCTCTGCTAGAGTTTTCACCTGAATCCAAGTCTGCCCACGCGCTTTCATCTCCTCTTCACATGACCTCCTTAAAGTCACCCTTGCACTGACGACCGACTCGATGTTTCCCTTTCGGGTTCCACTCGAGCAATGGCTTGTCTAGTGATATCACTTGATGGTTTCCTCTGAGTATGCCCAATCCACCTTTATTTCTTCCTGCTTATTTTTTGCACAATCGGTTCCTCCTGGGTTGGTTCGTTCATTGCAGGAGATCCCTCCCTGTTGCTAATCTTTTCTGGCCATCTGATCTTGGGTACTGAGCGAAGACAGCTGTTGATGAAGGTCTGTAGTTTGTTTGAGGTGCTGTTTATGACGCGCCAAGTCTCTGATTTGTATAGTAGCACTGATTTCACATTGGAGTTGAAAATCGGGATCGTATTTTTAATTCCGAGTGCTGTTGATCTGCACACGGAGTGGAGAGTAATCAAAACTTGCCTTGTTTCCCGATCCGCACTTTGATATCCCCGTTAGTTCCGTCCGCCTGAAGTTGAAACGATGCTTCTCATGTAGGTAGTTAGTTAGAAGGATGTTACTTCTTTCAGACTCCTCTCATTTGTGCTGATTGTTGTCTGTTGTCGTTGCTGTTGCTATTGGTAAGGAGTTTTCATCACCTCTGTTTTCTATATTTTTACTTGGAGTCCTATCTTTGATGCTTCTTCTGCCAGCTTATTGCTTATCACTTGCAAATCTTCCAGTTTGTGGGAAATTAGACATATATCATCGGCGAAGTCCATATCCTCCAAGTTTTTTGTGTAAATCCATTTTATGCCTGTTTCCCCGCTTCCCGCTGTCTTTCGCATTATCCAATCCACCGCAATCAGGAAAATCATTGGAGATAGTAGGCAACCTTATATTACTCCCGTCTTTACTTCGAAGAATTCCGTAATTTTCCTGTTGTGGATTACTTGACATGCAGCATTGTCGTAAAACTGTTGGATGAGATGTTGAATCCATAATGCCCTGAAATTCTTCATGACCACAGCTCTATAGTTTTATGCAGTCTCTGTATCATAATTCCCATAGAATGTTAAATGCTTTTATACCCACTAATCATTGGTAGGAAAATGCCAGTTTCTGAGTAACTGTGAGTGTTTTTAAGAATGATATAAATCAGTTAGCTCTTGCAAACACAGACAACCCAACTCAATCAGTCTACTTGTAGAATAAGCCGATAGCTATCACAGTATTAAGTTCATTATAGTTTATAGTCATCAGCAAGCAGGAGGACTTTATTTCCAGTGATATCTCATTTACAGATGGTAGGAAGAGAAGAGGGTATAGATTTGTATCTTGAGAAACGCCACTCTCCTGTGGCTGTCATGACGACAAGAACCTATCTAGTCTGCCTTGTATCCCTGAGGAAGTCTTGAATCTAGTCTCCTACTAATTTATTGATTGAAAAATTAAACAACTTTACTGGGAGACCTGAATAAGAAACCTCTTCATCAAAAGTCTTACTAAATTGGATAAATACAAAGCGTCTTCGAGGAGTATTAATATCAGCTGCATTATCCTGAGTTTGCTGTGTCAAAAGAATTTAGATCAAATCACCGAAAATACTATGTGAGTCATGGGGAAAAGAAAAGACGAATTCAGTGAAGAAAATTTTCTTTATCGACGAAATCATCTTCACAGGCTGTACACAGTCGTCGTATTTATATTTACCAAAAATGTATGGTAGTCCCTTACTGAGTAATACAGATGTGTGTGAGGTAATTGATAAAATTACTCAGAAGTGACCTTAGAAGGAAAAATAAATTTTGTATATTACGTAATATCCAACAGCACGAAGGAAGAAATGGCTAGAAACTTAATAAAGTTAAGTTTTTTATCGAGTGAGAATAAGGGTAGTTGAGTGTCCATTTAACAAGTATGAAGAGGGTAATGAAAATGTACAAAAGAAACATGTAAGAGTGATAATAGTGAGTTAATTATTAGAATAAAAGCAAACTAATCATTAAAAATAAAAATTTCAGGGAACTATTAATGAGAATTGGCAGAAGTTAGAATTCAAGGACCATTGGATCGGGTCCCAGTGGCTTAATGGTCTACGAGCTCGCCTTGTAACCGGAAGGTCCTGGGTTCGAATCCCGGTGGGTGCGTACTGCTGGAGAGTCCCAAACTCGAAACAGTTGGCTGTCCAGTACTCCCAGGTTTTCCAATGGTTCTCTAACTACTGTTAGCTCATGATGAAATCCTGAAACCAATCAAATCCCTACAAACCAACACTTGAATACCAATAAGATGCTCACTGGCGACTGGCCCTATTCAGGTAGGTAGTTACCTGGGTTCCAGTGGGAAGTCGTGACCAGTAGGGTGCAGCTGGTCGGGTGTGAGGACAAATACTCGCCGAAGACATTGGCTAGCGGTCGCGCTATGTCGTGAATTGGCAGAAGTTAGAATTCAAGGACCATTGGATCGGGTCCCAGTGGCTTAATGGTATACGAGCTCGCCTTGTAACCGGAAGGTCCTGGGTTCGAATCCCGGTGGGTGCGTACTGATGAAGAGTCCCAAACTAGGACGAAACAGTTGGCTGTCCAGTACTCCCAGGTTTTCCAATGGTTCTCTAACTACTGTCAGCTCATGATGAAATCCTGAAACCAATCAAATCCCTACAAACCAACACTTGAATAACTATTAATGAAGTTAAGACCATGGTAGAATAAGAGACTGCACAAACATTTTCTGTATACAGAGTTTGGGGTTCTATGGACAAATCGCAAATGCCTCCACCATACAAAAAATCCGAAACCTGACGCCGTTTGTATCTTTAGGCCTCACCTTGTAGATAATCTTGAAAGACAACTCTAGTGGAGCTGCATGGCTTGACTTCACTTAGTGCTGGAGAAATGAGAGCTAGTAACTAAATGTCTTACACTGTCTTTTTGCTGACCATGCCGGAAAATGTTCAGAGATTAGTTCGGAAAGTGTTGGCTGCACAAAAAGCACACTCTTCATACTCATATTCTTACTTTCGAAGCCATCTCTGAGTAATTTTATCGATTATGTCACATCCCCCTATCAACAAATACAAGGCCAGGCAACAGATCGTTTATTATGAAAATCACCACTTATTTAAACATCTTTAACTTACATTATTATAGCCAAGCGCAGTCATCTGCTTGTTGTTTAGGTAACAACGCAGGCTTCTGATTGTTGTTTCGGATTCCTTGACAAATAAGAGTTCTTAGCCCTTCATTCAGTCACTAGTGAGCATCAGATTAACTTCCCTGAGTTTAAATAGGAAATTCGATAGTATTGACGGAATGTTCGAATTAAGGGTATAAATTATGACGAATAATAATAAAAATTGTCATACTATGCAAAGGAAAACAAACAAATCAAGAAACTCCGAGAGGGTTAAGGTGAACCGGCACTGTTTTTCCAGCAAAACTACAAAATAGTCCGTTGAAAGATGAAATAGCAAAAATAGAAATGTACTTTCGTTACATGGATGACACTTTTGTAGTGTAAGATGAAAAGTTAAGTAGTCATTCGATTTTAAGCAACTTCAGTAAGGCTCAACCAGCGGTCCATTTCACCTACAAAGGAAAATACAACGACTCTTTGCACTTCTCGACGTCTTACTAAAGAAAAGAGAGGATGGTTTCGTCAAAAGAATCATATTTAGAAAATTAATGACCAAAGCACAGTATACACACTTCCTTAGCTTCGTACCGATAAAGTACAAACGTAATCTAATCCCGCGCTTAGCATTTAGAGCGAGGTCCATTTGTTCTGAGGAATGTGTAGAGAAAGAACTCCAGGTCATCCGAGACATTCTAAGCGAGGACAGATATCCAGAGAAGTTCATTAAAGCCAACATAGCCGTAAACAGGAACTGCCAACGGTGGAGAAAGAGCTTCTATTTTTACGTCTACAATTCAGCGGAGGTACTCCTCTGAAGATTCTATCGCAACACTTAACCGGAGCGATGAAGAAAACTTTCTACTCTTCACATCTTTCCCTATCCTTCAGTAGCCATCCAATGTTCACCCAGCAACTGAAAGACGTCATAAGTAAACTTAGGTCTTCTTCATACATATACCATTTCAACTGTTCCTATGGTTCAAGTGATATAGGGCGCACAAGTAGGCAGGTTCGTATACGGATTCGAGAATATTTACTAGCTTGGTTCAGCAGAGAGGAAATTAAGTGCATAAAAAGCTCGATCCTGTAACACTTTTTCGATACTGGACATAGCATCGACCTCAACACAGACTTCAGGTTTATATACCGAATTCCGAAGTCGTTTTCGCGTACAGTTAGCTTACGTCTGCTACACATTTCTGAAGCTATGGCAATAAGATCGACTAGACCGAAGCTTTGTATCAAAAATGAACACGTCCAGATGCTCTTCCTACTGTGGCAAAACTTAAAACAATGATTCTTCTTCTCGCCAAGAGTGCTTCTTCCCCTTAACCCTCTTGGTTACTTTTTTCATAGGTTTGTTTGTAGGGATTTGATCGGTTTCAAGTTAGATCTCGAATTTATGAAAGTTAGAATTCATCGGACATTGGATTGATTCCCACGGGTTGGATGATCAACAGACTTGCCTGTTAACCTGAACATCCTGGGTCCTATTCTTGATGCAGTTATGCTTATGTACTGCTGAAGGGTCCCAAACCAGGACGAAACAGTTGTCCAGTACTTCCTAATTTTCGATGGATCTCTAACTAATATTAGTTTATTAGCTAACTTGTTATTTTCATTGTGACCACCTTAATTATAATCCACTAATTCATAAGTAAGGCGGAACTTTGATTCTGTTGACCACATTGGTTTCAAATGTGCTATGATAAGAATCCTATTATGTAATTGTAATGCCTTGTGAGGAATTATCAAAAATCTACATACGTATTTGCTTAAACTGTGTCCTATAAAACAAACATGTTTATTTTTCTTTTATTTCAGACACATAATTTATTTACTCTTAAAAATAGTAAGTATATAATCGATTATTGTACCTAATTGCATACATTTATTCCCCTAAATGAATTTGAATAAAGCAAGACAACAGTTGTTGCAGAATTAAAGATAAGGTATACCAAATTTATGTACCAACAATGCGCTTATCCTAATGAACACTGGCTTTCGAGAATCATCGGTCTTTTATTCTTTACAGTACTGTCGTATAAAAAAGGAACATCAGAGGCATTATGTAGGATTCTCAATGAGACTGGAATTAGGGCGGCACTTAAACCAACCAACTCTTTCAGAGATGAATTTTGTTTGCCTGAAGACACAATGAATTCAATTAGGAAAAATGATATAAATTTCCAATTACCAATTAGTGACCGTTGGTGAGGTCAGTTTCATAGATCAAACCAGTAGATCGGGGTAAATTAGATTATCGAAACAAAAAACTTTTAGCTGGACCTAGAATAATTGAGCTTGCTAAGTTAAACAACCTAGAAAAAAGCTTGTGAGCCGCATTGCATTGCATTCACTTGCACATAATCACTCGATAGAGTGGCACAGGGTGAGTGTATTAAAAGGTAATATAGTTAGGTGGAGAGAGAGAGGTTAATTACTGAATCTTTCTTCACCGATTAAACGCCGATCACGCGAAATCGAAATGACGTAGCTCCCACACCAGGGATACACAAAGTGACAACAAACATCAAGCAGGTGAGAGAGATACATACACGACTAAACTGATATGATTATGAAGAATAAATTGTGCTCGAAACTTCATCCAGTTATTAATACTGTTTCACTATGTGATATTTGAAGTAAATACGGAAACACATTCCAGCCACAGTGCACAAGCTCTACACTAATGCCTCTTGGCCAGCAAGATCGAAGTGATTTAAACACTGAATAGCCGTATCTGTCGTTTGAGACAAAGTTCATCAGTGGTGTACCGAAATTATTCAGTTCACACTAGATGATCTTCAAGTATTGGTTTGTAGGGAGTTGATTGATGGCTTACAGGATTTCATCATGAGCTGTATTCAGTATGAGAACCACTGGAAAACCTACAAGGATTCCTGGACAGCTGTTTTGTCGGCCTAGTTTGCGGCTTTTCGTCAGCACGCACCAACCGTCATCGGTCGAACTCAGGACTTTCTGATTGCAAGGCGAGCTAGCTCGTAGACCATTAAGCCACTTGGACCCAATCCAATAGCTAGCTCATGAATTTTAACTTCTGCCAATTCATGACATAGCGTGACCACTTCACAATGTCTTCTTCGATGTGTTACTGCCTTACCTTTAACCTGCTGTGCCCTACTGGTCACGGCTTCCAACTAGAACCCCAGGTAACTATCTGTCTGAGTAGGACCAGTCGCTAGTGAGCATCAGATAAATTTTCAGGTACTGACAGAAGTTAGAATTCATGAGTCTTTTGATTGGGTCCCAGTGGCTTAACAGTCTACGAGCTCACCTTGTAATCAGAAGGTCCTGGGCTCGAGTCCCAGTAGGGTGGGTGAGTACTTCTGAAGAGATTCAAACCCACATCACACAGTTCCTTCAAGGCTGCAGATAAACTTTGCTGACAAGTGTCAACCAGCATGGAACCTAGGTCCAAGGCTTACAGCCGATCACCTCCAACCATCCAATCTCAAAGATTATCAATATGGAATTTCCATGGAATTTTGCATCAAGTCAACTAAAAATTATCAGGTTGATCAAATGATAATCATTGTGACATGGTGATTCACTTTTTAAATTCTCCAACAACTGATTCCAAAACTTTTTCACTCTCATGTAATGTTGTCACCGATAAGGATGAGATGTGGATTTCTTCTATCTGCCTCAGCTTTATTATCCACATAGGACTAGCTATGCATAAAATAACAGTACAAAACCTCAAATGTTTATGTCAGCATGAGTTCCTTGGAATGCGCGGAATCTACCTTATTGATGGAAACTGATAGTCATTCAATCAAAGCCAGGTGGAGCTCCGTGCTGGGAAGAGTGAAAAATAGACACCACAGCCAGGTGACCTTGAAATAACCAGTCATATATGCTCAGCATTACAAACGGATACTTTTCATAATCTTCCTTACAAATTTCACCCTAACCCTGATTATAACTCTCCCTTAATCTCATCCCAGCTTTAAAGCTGAATCAGGGTGAAACTGTCAACGACAATAATGAAAAGCATCGATTTCTAATACTGAGTGATCTGATTGGTTGGTTCAAGGTAATCTGGTTGTTGTATCCATTTTTCACTGTTGCCTTCATGTTGACTACCTTCCAGCATATGATATCTCACTAAATTTCTCCTCCTAATGACATATCATTATATTTCATCCATAAGTTACAATTTGTTCGATCGGTGTTCAAACTACACAAATTTTTTTTGCTAAATCAAGTCTAATTTTCATGGATTCCTTTGAAAGATTTTACTGATATCGAGATTGAATACGTCGAAACCTGAAATTAACAAGAGGAATATTGGAAACGAAGAAGCAGTGCACAGACAGGTGGTGTTTCATCTTACTTTGGGACTCTTCGGTAGTCTCCATCCAAGCTTGGACCTTCACTGTAAGAGGATGAAGTCTTTATCATCTAGCTCTAAAGTTTGGTTCTAATGATGCATGCAGTCTAACTTCTGTAAGCTGCACCACCAACCAATGTCACTGGTAATCATCCATTCTAGCACAACTTCCCACCATAACTCCAGGAATTCCATCCCTCAGTTTGTCACCATTGTAATGTTTGGGAACGGATACTCTTCACTTACACTGGGTGCTGGTGGTGCCCTATTGTTGAAGAGTCAGTCTCAAAGTATGAGGAGACACCCGTCTCCATGATTCTTAATGAAGTCTACTATAAAATTATGTACATAACGTGATTTCAATACTACTATAATCAATAAAAATAAGTAATATATGAGTACACTTTCAAACCGAATGCCTTCTTCTATCCCATTATGATTTCAGGTCTATCCAACACTGGTGATACACTGAAGCAGCTGACAAATGATGAAAATACTTCGAATATTTGTTTCAGTTCCTACAGTGTAATACTTGGCCCATTTTTATTTCCACTAGCTATTGAATACAGTTTAATTGCAGGATCATTCTTTTATAAAATGTTACAACGTGTCGACCGGAATTTCCCTAAAACATCCTATCATATCAGCGAACGTCTTGGACAAAATTCTCCAAGTCTGTTAAGTTCATCACCACCATCAACAGCTAATAGTATAAGTAAAAATATGTTTGGAAAATTCAATAGTCCATTATTATTTCCAGATGTTGATGATGAAGAAGTCGTGCTAGATGAATATTTTCATCGACAATGCAGTAAACATATGACATATAAACCAGTAATGGGGTGTAAAATGTATCTGCCTATGCTTCAACAAAATAAACTACCAATATTAAATCAAGATGCTGAAGAACCTTCAGGTATGTGTATATGTTTACTGTTATTATTGATCGGCTTAAGTTGTTACTCAAATATATGTAACTGTCAAAATATGTACAAAGATAATGGGTAACTGTAAACAATAGCGACCCAAACGAAGGACCAAGTAAATGGATGTAATGACCCTGATTGACCAATCAGATGAGCCCGTGGAAAGTGCGCGTATTTTAAAGACTATTTTATAGGCACCAAAATCAGTGTTAAAAATAGTTAGGTATAACCCGAAAATTTTCCGAATTCCTTATCAGAGTCTTCAGAGATAGTTCAAGCCTATTCCCGTATGTAAATTCATCCAGATAACCGTATACCACGCTGTTTCGTGACCCATTCACTTCTGTAGGGCACCCATAAACCTAAAAATGGAACGAAGTATCTTCTCAAACAGATTTTCTATAATGATAATCTGGGAACATGTTCACATATCTATCAATAGAGGCTGCATATCTCTGTGAAGACATTACTCCTTCACATCTACAAGCTTCCTGTAAGCCTATTACCCTAACAGTACTCAAATACTACCTACTGATGGAATTTATAAAGTAATTTATGTACTGCATCTGTATTTCCGCCTATTTATTGTGGGCTTATCTGATTGGTTGTTCGAGGTCATCGAGGCTAACCATTTATTAAGTGGTTTCGTTTTAGGTCGCTATAGTTTAGTGGAAACCTATATGATATAACCATTAATACGTCCTGGTTGACACAGAGTGGTTATACGAAACTAATGCGTAAATAGAAATTAATCTAATCATCGGTGTAAATCCAACTCTGACTATCACAACAACAAGAATCAAAATACCTTCAACACACGGAAGAAGAGAGAAGAAAGACCACTAGTAAGAGATGTCTTACATTCTCAACAGTCAAAACACTTGATAGTGACGATATATATATATATATGTGATGACCTAGACAAACGCCAAATTAATTGGTAAACAAAAGTGAAGAGCTTAGTCTTCACAAAGGCGAGAATATAGAGTGCGAAATTTAGTTATTCTAAAATTAGTCAAAATTAGGGGAACATATGACACCACATGAAGATAAGTACATTATCGTTATTCCGTTAATGTAGGCTAGCAAAAAAAAATACAGGATAAGCGTTTCGCCTAAGTTTTCACACTCGTCAATCGGACATATTTGCATCCGATTGTGTGTGGTGATGATGTTCTCATTGGGACTCGAATACAGCACATATCATTCCAAATGCCAGTGAGTTATACAGTTTTGACTAGTGCACATTGAATTCTATCAGTCACGTTGGCAATGTGGCTATCATGCCACTAGGTGGCTCACAAACACTGCGCACTTTGAATAGTTTGTTTAAAGCGATCGGCAGGAAGCTTCGGACCATCTAGGTTTTGTGCTTGTTGACACTCACCAGTCAGCAAGGCAGGCGTATCTGCAACCTTGAAGGAATTCATGTCCCTTCTGAGATTCAAAGCCACACCACCCAGTAAGCTCTGCAGTCAGAGACATTAACACCACTAAGCTATTCGGTCTCGCCAGTTATACACTTGGCTACTAAGCCACAACTTTCTACGAGAATAAATTATCAGTGACTGACTGACTGACTTACCGACTGAGTTTCAAAATAGAACCTCGTACAGAAATCCAGCAGTTTGAGTTACTACACCTCATAATCAGAAGTGTTTATACTTCAATCATACTACTAATATAAGTTACTGTAGTCATTAGTACTCATATAAGTTGAACGGCATACTTAACTCAGTTAGAAACAGGGAAACATTAGTTCACTACAAACCGATAGACGTTCAGTTATTTTAAAATCAGTATCCAAGCCATCTTTGAATGGATAATGAAGCATATTTTGTGTTAATTCTATATGCAATGGTATAAACTTGAATCTTGTTGCTGCTACTGCCAAAATGCAGGTGTATCCAGATGATGAGTCGCAACTAGGACGAAATGTGCGTCCTGGATTCCACTATTAGTCACCATCGACCAATTAAGAATAGCACTTGTTGAATGATAACGAAATGTCATCGAACTTTTTATTGATTTATTTTAAATAAACCATAAAAATGTTGTTTGTTTGCTAATGGTTTTTTTTAATCCGGATCTAATTAATTATTCAATTATTTTTATAGATGATAATCCCTCTCTAACAACAGACGATAATAAAAAAACATCTACTGATCGTAAATCCTTAAAATTATACTCTGGTCATCAATGTCATCGATCACACTCGGGATTATTTCTCGGCATTATGCTACTAATAGCTAGCAGCGTATGCATGGTATTATTCATAGTACATGGAAGTAAAGGTTCAATGGAATTTGCTTCATTTATATACCAACAATCAAGAATCGCCTTATCATTCACTAGCCTACTAGCCTGTATTATGGCTATACTACAAACGAATCAATTAAAATTTCGACGATTAGGTCATGGTGAAAGTTTTGAGTATAACCTGTTGACAGTTGGTTTAATCGGTTGTATCACTTATCATATATTTCTGTTTATACCAGCCTTTGAAACTGTTCTACACATTCTTTTATTTAAATCGATTGATTTAGAAGATCATGTAGACATTGAAAAGGCTGATGATAAGACTATTCATCAAAATTTAAATGCAACATATAATCAAACAAGAATTGTTCAAATAACTCCTAGTGATATCTACTATATAGCATTATTATATTCAGCAAAGTGTACATTAGAAATATTTCAAGCTTTATTACAATTCTTTTTTATTGTTGAGTCATCAAGACGTAAAGTGTGTTGTTTAAATCAGGCATTAATAAAACCTGGTCGTTCAGTCATTGTATTCTTGTTAATATGTAATTTAGCCTTATGGCTTGTGAATACATTTGAAGTGCGAAGAGCTGAAACACAATTATCCTTGTATATAAAATATTTCGGTGTACGTACATGGTCTGTTATTACCTATTGTTTTATTCCATTGATTATCTTTTTTCGTTTTCATTCTACTGTATGCTTAGCTGAATTATGGACAAAATTATATAAATTAACATGAATGCATTGAATTATTGAATTAAGTTTGTTTTAATGCATAAATAATATTTGTGTGTTTAATAGTGCTTAATTTAAACAAAATACAAATCGATGACTAAAAAAGGATTTCTTTTACTTTAAAGTCTATGATCAATCACATGAGGGCAAAGTAAGGGCGCGTAACTTGAAAAAGTGTTTATAGAAAAGTAATGTTAAAAATGGTTCCTGTATATGTTGCAAAAAAACCTCCAGTTTCTCACAAGAGTCCTTATAGATAGGCCGAATCAATTTCTATGCATAAATTCGTTCAAACAACAGTAAATTGTCAAGTTTCCTAACCCATTCACTCTTTAAATCCTCTTTCTCAACGCAACTTCGACTTGATGAAGAAAATACCTAAAATATCCTTAAACCAAAAAAGAATAGAGTACCTTCCATGACGGATTTTCTGCTACGATAGTTTGGGCATATGTAGAAGCTGTATGTCTCTGTAAATCCATTACTCCTCCACATCTACATGTTTTCTCCCTTCTTATGAGTCTGTTATCCAAACAGTACTTAAATACTGCATTTAGATAAAATCCCCTACGTAATTCGTGTACGGCATCCATGATTTCGCGTCGGTGGCACAGTGGTTAGGACTCTCGACGACCATGCACATGGTCCGAGGTTCGAGCCCGCACCAACGCACATCTGATATATATGGTCGGCCTGCAAAATTTGGGCTACCGATATCCATGCTGAAAATTCCATACTTGTACCAAAAATACAGCGTGGAATCAAGCTGTAAATCAAAAAAAAATATATATATATACCACGGATTCATATCACTATCGCTAGAGGTAATAAGTCCGTTCATAAGGTGGTTTCGTTTTGGGTCGTTATGGTTTAGAGTTACCAAGAATGAAGGTATTCGACTTATTCAAATGAATAGTGGATTGGGTATGAAGGAAAACCTAATAAATCTACAGATTTTCAAGTCTTGGTTTTGTAGGGACTTTGTTTGAACGGTTAGAGGATTTCATCATCAGCTGACATCAGTTAGAAAACCAGGAAGTACTGGACAGCTGTTTCGTCAGCCTCGTTTTAGATTCTTCATCAGCACGCATCACTGGGATCCGAACAATGAACCTTCCGGTCACCTGGCGATTTCATAAGCCATTAAGCCACTGGGACGCGATCCAATGGCCAGCCCATGAATTCTAACTTCCCCCCAACCCACGACATAACGCGATAGATATTATATATCTCCTACCACATAAAAGTTACCAAAATGAACAGAATTATGCAATATAGCTTCACCTATGATGTTCAACAGTTGAAGAATTAAATTTGGACATAAAATATTGCAATATGCCGATGATCTGATAATTTCTGTCTCAGTACACCGAGAGCTGTAAGTAAGTGTTAATGGCGTGCCTGTGACTTAACTAACCGACATTGTTGTTGGTCGATAGGCATTTCAATTTTTCCGAGCAGTTGGCTAAAGTTATCTTGTCCGATATCGAACACATGCCTCTTTGTGTTTGGCAACTTTCTCCTTGTATCCCTTCGAGGGTTGGTGAAACCAGAAAAAACTACACAAGAATTTAATGCTCATACAACTGTCAAATATAAAAATTCTACCATACTACTATATTTAATACAGGGTTTGTGTGAAGACCGTACAAATGTCAGGAAGGAACTGACAAACATTTTAAACCAGTAACTGAATTGCAAGGAATAACAAGGCTGATTATTATTATTATAATTATTATTATTACATGTATTACTTTTTAAAAATTATTTATTTTTATGGTTTAACTATTTTTGCAATTTTATATACTTGTATCTTTATAAAGAGGGCTAAATTGTTACAGTTTGTATAAAAACGCTAAAAATTCCATTCTGTATCATCATTGCTGTTTGGAATAAAGTGATTGTCACTACCTTTCGAACAATCTGATCACAGATTTACTTATCAAGTCAATATATATATAAAAAGGTTAAATTAAACAAAGTGAGAGAAAACGGAATTAAGAATAATTAACACAAACGTTTGGTAATCCAATCAAATAAGGATTACCAAGGTAGGTTAAGAGTAATAACAAACTGTTTTTGAATACACTAGACGGGCTTGAGTTTATAAATACCTATAGCCTCAGTGTATTTCAATAAACGCCGTTGACCGTTTTTATAGGTGACCTTAAAGGCTGAGTTGACATCAATCAATCTTATGGTTCATCTCGATTAGATGTTTAGCTATAGACGAAGTTGGTTGCCTGACACCTGCATCTATTGGCTTGTCACAATTACCATATAACGGGGAAATAAATAGTAGGATTTTGAGACAAAGATTGAATTCGATCATCCGTAGAACCTACTATGCCGGCGAGCTTGTAATTGTGGAAAAAGCTAAAAATATGCTTCACTTCAAACCCCAAAAGTGCACAAGTGATTATATCACATCCCACACTATTTACCAATTTTCGTGTGTGTGTGTGTGTGTGTGGACATACATACATCGGGAGGAGTAATCGCGCTTTGCACGTGAGGGTGGAAGAGCATATCCCAAAATGGTTAGAAAAACAAACGAATTGTGATAAGCCAATAGATGCAGGTGTCAGACTACCAAATTCATCTATAGCTAAACATCTAATCGAGATGAACCATGAGATTGATGTTAACTCAGCCTTTAAGGTCACCTATAAAAATGGTCAACGGCGTTTATTGAAATACGCTGAGGCTATAGCTATTCATAGTTTAAGCCCCCTTGCGTATTCAACAGCAGTTTGTTATTACTCTTAACCTACCTTGGTAATCCTTATTTGATTGGATTACCAAACGTTTGTGTTAATTATTCTTAATTCCGTTTTCTCTCACTTTGTTTAATTTAACCTTTCTATATATATTGACTTGACAAGGAAATCTGTGATCAGATTGTTCGAAATGTATAGCGCCAATGCATCACATACCTTTTCAGATAATCTCCGTCTTCTGATAATGCTATCAAGATTGTCATTACTATTATTATTATTATTAATAATTTAATTGAAGATGGTGTTAGTAAGGAAACACATGACGACTATTTTCTGCTTATAGCTCCATAGAATCATTTGTTGTCTGCTTAAGTGTCACTCAAGTATCACATTCATATCAACAACTCACTGAGTGGAATGATGTGTGGGTATAATAATACTGACGCAATGAACACAACTCAACAACTGATATGCTGAATACGCCTATTCGTCTGTGGTAAGTTGTGCTTCACTGAGCCACATAAACATCAAAAGACAAAGACTGGCCTGTGACTGTTGGAATACCGTTTTATCAGGAGAAGCCGTATTCTAAGTCACAGGAAAGTCTTTGTCTTTTGATGTTTATGTGGCTCAGTGAAGCACAACTTACCACAGACGAATAGGCGTATTCAGCATATCAATTGTTTAGTTGTGTTCATTGCATCAGTATTATTATACCCACACATCAGTCCACTCAGTCACATAACAGCTGTCAACGAGATCACATCGATTAGCGACAAATGGATAACAGTTACATACGCTGACTGCAGTGAATCAATGACGCGTGATGTTCAGCTCGTCGTGAATATCAGCTGTCATATATTGTTCAGCTGGTACATTGCACTCCGGTGTACATTCACACTGAGAAAACCTTTGTTCAAGCATTATTATGCCACATTGTGGCACCAAAAATCACCAGTGGATATACTACGGGACACTACCCGATGACAGGCAACACCCTGGTTAAAATCAACAACCATAAAAGAAAATCACACTTTGCAATTTCATTCATTTTCAATGGTTATCAGCTGATATTGACTAGTGAAAGTGCTGATGTTAAGAAATCTCGCATCCTCTGTCACGCAAGAAATCACTGGAAGTCAACTGAAGCAATAATTCGAAACAATCCTTGTATATGCACTACTGCTATTATCCACTTAAGTAGACTATAAATTATGGCGAAAATGTTTTGGAACAATTAGTTCTAACGATGAATTTCGACGAAACTATAAGAAGACGTAATTTATCCGAGTAGTATGTTTGCACAACACATTCCGAATAATCTGATCACACACATGATTTTCAGAGGAATATCTATATAAGTACAAAGCGTTAGGGGTTGAAGGGACATGTGTATGTCGGGTATTGCAATACGTTGAGATTGAGATACGAGCACCAAGTTGGACACAGATGCCCTAGTGAATGCCGCTGTGTGTGTTTATTTCTGCCTGAAACCATCCTTGTATCGAATATTATTGCAGTCTTGGCGTCGGTGTTGCTTATACTGAAAACATTCGATGATGTGACAAGCAACATAATGCTAGGAGGCTGATGCAGGTTCCATCTTCGGGCGTCGACTGGTGTAATGTGAGTAACTGGGACGATAGATGTTTGAGGTGCGACAAGGTGGTGTGGGATGAGAAGTTGGTGACGAAGTTTTGTGTGGTCTGGCAAACTGCATTGCTTTCAGGACAACTGTCGCGCTGACATTCATATTCGACTAAACTAAACTGGTTGTTCGAGAACTGTTTCCAACGTCGAGAAAGCCAACAACCCTATCAACAAATAAACATGAAGACAGAGTATCCTGAATTCTATAATGAATGAAGAATGTTCCAGGATGAAATGGAAACCTCAATAACCGCAGGATTTAGAACAGATACGATTTCATTTCAGACAACAAAGATTTCACGGGGAACAATTATTTTCAATAAATTCCTAATTTCCAACAGTCTTCACGTATGTATAAATGCATGAACAACATCTAAGAAGGAGTAGCAGCTGATGACGAAATTACAGTTACATTAGAAACAGTAATGTGGTAGATAGAGTAAACTACCATTGGAAACTGACCGCAATGTATGGACGCATTCTGAATGGTGGGGAGGAGATGATGGACCATATTCAATAAGCAAGAGTCAAAAGATTGTCAGCATAGCAGCCGACAGTTTGTTGGCGTCCAGAAAATATGCAAATGGCAATTGAGATGAACTTTATATACGGTTAAGACGTGCTCAGCTGGCACCCTATGACAGGTGGTAGAGTTGAATGAGAATGGAGAGTGGTGATGAGTTGAACAAGCGCCATAGGATGACGCGTGGCCTATTGTGTGAGGTGGAGGAAGTCAATAGTTGCAGAATGTTGTGAAGTGGCGTGAAAGCGTCAGAAGAAAGCCGAGTGTCATTGAGATGTGCTGACGAGGCTGCATGCTCCACTCGGAATTCAGGGAATGACCAATACCAATAGTGGTAGTCTGTACATCCAAAGGAGCTATGAGACGATCTGATGAAGTGACGTTTACGGATAGAAAATTCCAATTCAGTTTTCAAGTGATGAATTGTAATCAATGCGCTGTTCCTACCGTTGTCAAACTTAGATCAATGATTCTTCTTCTCACCAAGAGTGCTTCTTACCCTTAACCTCCTGGGCTTCTTTTGTTGTTGGTTTATTATTTCAATTACTATTATTCATCATAATTTATACCCTTCGTGCCAACATTCTCTCATTACTATCGAATTTTTCATTTACACTATCCGGACTTATTATTAGTTGATATTATCTCTTTTCCTAATATATGCGTTCGTCTGTTTCATTTCACACACTGGTTATTTCATTATGAATCTCTCATTGCAGCCTTACTATCTCCGCCCCTTTAATACATATCACTTTGTATTAGCCACTCCCCTGACACCTTTTATAAACCTTGAACTGATTTGTCAATTTTTCCTACCTCACATTCTACGAATCTGATATGACTAATCATCACCATTGTCTACCATTTTACACTATTTTGTAATCGATTTCAGCCTAGCACGTTTGTTATACAAATAGTATTTATTTTGTCACCCCATAACTAATCTGTTTTTCTACATTAAAAATATATATCCACCGCACAACTGGACATTATTGTAACGACAACAAATATTATTTAAAACAACTAGTTCCCTTTATGAATTTAGACTAAGCAATAAGAAGAGGTAATTTGTCTGAATCCTGTAATGTATTTGCGCAACACATTTCAAACACTCTGATCACACACGGACTTGTCTTAGGAGTGCATACATATGAAATTAATAGTTAAGTTAAAAGGACAAACTGAAGGTCAAAATAACAATAAAGATCACTAAACCAAATAACAGAGGTAATAGTACAATCTGCTATGGTATCAAAACAAAGTTTATCAAGGAAGGTAGGTTTAGTGTGATGACGAATTGTTGCCTTGAACACACAAAGGTGGTTAAAACTTTCTAATTGCTATCTAGGCCTTCCACAAACTTTAGGATATGCCCCAAACATGTTTTATAGATAGGTTTAAAAGATGTGTTAGCGCCAATTTTCACCATTAATGGGTTCTGGATATCCAGCTTGCTTCTGAAGCCATTTAGGCGTATGCTTCGGCAAGGTATTGTGATCTATCTTTTCAAGGTCAGTCGACTGACTAGTCGCTGTCTTTCTCAAGCTGCTAGCATGACTCATTTGCGGAAACTCCCAGAAACACAGTACAAACTCTCTTACAAATATATTTGTTTTGTCAGTAGACGAACTTGCCGCTGATAGGCAGGCAGTTTAGCTACTAATTGAACTAAATCTACCAGTGTAGAAGTCTAACGATTGTGATCCATGTGAATGACTTTGAAGAGTGGCCAGTCAGTTAGTTTAAGCAAATAATGCAGCTATAGTGGAGAGATTAAGGTTTTCATCAATAACTTCTGCTGTTCAAGATCTGGGAAAAAATATATCTAATCCGTGAAGAGCACCTACAACTTGACTTCGAACTCCAGTACATACACTGTGATTTTTTTGATGAATACTGACACTCTTAACAAAAACTGAAAGTAACTCTTGCAGTATTTTAAAGAAAAGTGCCCCGTTTCTTCTCCAAACCTTAACTTCATGAATACACTTTCCTTTGATCATGTAATACTTTGGCAAGTACTCTGATCTACCGTTTCAAGGTCAGTCATCTGATCGATACGTTTCTTAGATAGGTGGTTGTTATCTTTCTCAAGAGGCGTAACGGCTTTATTGTTGACCGTTTTTATGTCCATTCAATCGGAGGCATAAACCTGCACGGACCATGGCGTGATCGGAGTCTACGCACGTGCTCCAGAAGGAGCACCAGTCTTCTAACAACCCTAGCCAACGATAGCTTATCACTATGTGGTGTATTTGAGTCCAACGTTGGTTTGATGATGGAGGTCGCCTGGCCAGGCAATATCTCTCTAAAGTTAATGCTAAGCTAGAACAGATGACTATCTGGACAGAAGTGTAAACGATAGCCACTGTTGTCAGTTCGTCGGCATGAGGAAAGCAAGATATTGGTGATGTAGATAAAGGTGGGTGACTACAGGGAGAGCTTCATTAGCTTTTGGAAGTGTGCATCTGGTTGTTAATTCCCCACTGCCAACAAAATGAAAGTTGGTTTTCTCCAGAGGTATCTGAAAATGAAAGGGAATTAGTTCTGCATCAATGCAGCGACCAGGGAACAACTGCTTGAGACCCATCACACATGGCCCGTTTGAACTGGTTCCTAAAATTGTTTCCCTATTAGTAACTTACTGCCAGCTACGGACTATTCTGGGTAGGTCGGGATTTACAATTACGAGGGTCCCCATTTTCAATCCACTCTCACCAGATAGGGGAAACAGCACAGCTGGTCATCTGAAGAGAACAACTTACTGCTGTTCTATGCCTGATTTCCAGGAGTACGACTCTGTTCATAGACACACCACAGTGTAGGCAGCTTACACTATACCGTAAATGCCTTTAGAATTACAGCAGATAAAAGATAACAGGACAATTTCGCTCGAAATCTGCGTAAACCGCCAAAAATTGTGAGTACATTTGAGAAACTACTTCTAGGACTATCAAAAACATTCCGATTATAACGCTTCAACATTAAAATTGCTGAAAACAATCGTCTCTGCTGAATTAATAAATACATCGTATGTGTTTACTTAAACTCAGATAGATTATCTACCCTTCTAATTGTTTTAACAGCTGAACGAACTGCTAGCCTAGGCATAACTGTTGCGCACATTAGTTACACAACGTATTAATAATAAGCTACACAAATACACACACACACCAGAACAAAACACCATGACAAGGACTAATTCATTCAACATATTTTCGCTTCTAAATAACACAATTTCGTACATATGCACACTTTAAGTTCATTTATTAGGTAGATGTGACTTAATCAATACCAAATATACACTTCAACACATAGAAATATTGATTATTTTGAATGTGTGTGTCTGTGTGCTGATTTACATACCTAACAGATGTGAATAATTAAAATACCGAGAGAGAGAGAGAAATAGAAGAAAGCGATTCAGATTCATATGATGAGTAGTAATCAGATCATAGTACACCACGATTTCATTCTATGCCATAATATACAAAAACAAAATCGCTTAGTTCTAACACAATTCACACTAAAACATTCCTCCAAGCAATACAACTAGATTATCAACACTGTGTGACGTATACCCTACATTCCTCCTGTTATTATCGACCGTACATTCTTAAAACCGATTAAGCTCTACATAAAGTCAAGCCAATCACTCTGGATTGACGTATTTCTGTTAGATGTTATCGTTATGTGATGTATTCATTGCAACAGAAGAAACATAATAATCTTGTGACGCTTACTCAAGTCAGTTTCAAGAAAAATCCCGTAAAGGCTACTATCTTGTATATCAGAATTCCTATGCACGTTTGTCGACTTCACTTCTGCTTTCGACTCTGTACCTAGATGTCTCTTGGTAGATAAGCTCTCTATGACACTAACTGAATCCTGGGTCACTAACTGGTTGCATTCCTACTTCTCTAACAGAATGCAGTACACTGTATACAAAGGTAAATCCTCCTCTGCTGTGCTCACTGAAGCTGTGTCCCCCAGATTGCTGTACTCCCCCCCCATTTTTCTTTTCTTTGTTTCTTTCTACATGGCTTACCATCCTTAAATGACATTAATTTTGTTAACTATGCTGACCCTGTCAAATGTCAAAGTGACTGCTCTAAACTAAATGGCTTTTTATCAGAAATCAGCCAGTGGTCCAAGGAAGACGGTCTCACCTCAAACCCCCCCAAATGCCAAACAGTTAATTTCACCTTAAGGCACAAATCTGACCTAAACAAAATGGTTAGAACTCACGAGGTGTGCAACATAGATGGCACTGAAATAGAAACCAAGTCAGAAATTAAATACCTAGGTATCATTCTATCTGCTGATCTTTCCTGGTCGTCTCATATCTTGACAATTTCTAAGAAAATATTCCGTCTTACCTTCTACATCAAGAAGTTAAGACATTCTGGTATAACCCAACCCTTACTCTCGTATTCTGCCTATCATTCTCTAATGTTCCCCCTTAGTTTTTCCTGGGCTACTGAAGAAAGACTATACCTTATTACGCAGGATGTTAAAGGTTGTCAGCAGGGTGAGCAACGTGCCGCCTAGCCAGCTTTTTAATATTCTGGTTGACAGGCACATGGAATCATGTGAAAAATAGGCTAAATCCAACTTATCTAACTCACACCACCCTCTTCATTCACAACTCTCCCCTTGTATCTCAGCAGGCAAAACCAGAAGCCTATGCAGAAAACTATATGCTCGCACTAGCAAGTACAAAAACTCAACCATACCCTACTTAGCTCGAGTTCCGTGCGATAAAAAAAGGATTAGGCGTGATACCTATAGCTTATTAAATAGTCAGTAGAACAACTGGATCTCGTCTTTCTAACTCATATCATTTATAGATACGTTCTCTTTCTTTCTTTCCCTTTTCTCTCCTTTTTTGCTTTTGTTATGTGCTGTTTTGTTTCTCTCTTCCTTACAAACTCTATTAAAATATTTTTCGTTCTTTCACACTCTGTATATCTCGACCTTTTTGTTACCGCTTACGCCAGTAAATATGGTAGCATCTACTTTTCTAACACCTTCAAACACTGTTCAATTTCGGCTTTGCTACCGACATGCCAATATGTTGTTGTCAAAACGAACTGAGATCACCCTTAATCTATGTAGAATTTTACTTATTGTTAATGTACAAACTGGATGCAATACTGTAGTAAAATGCTGAGAATTCCATTCTGTATCACAAATACTGTTTTGGAATAAAGCAAAATTATTATTATTATTTAAAACTCAGGAGCAGTAGCTAGATTTATCTGTTATATTCCAGTTCATGCATTCTACCACCTCAGAAACTCAATAGCGCATCTCAACTAATTCTCAAGTCTCAGAACAAAAGTACTAGTCAACTGCTCTCTCTCTCTCTCTCACTCTCTCGCTTCAAACACCATTAGGTGAACAAAGCAGTATACGTAGAATAGTCTGAATTCACCAATTATTAGTCGACGACAGCAACAAAGACTATTATTCCCTGAGACTACGCGTCTTTGATAAATCAGATTCTCGAAACATCAACCGTAAATCTCTACCTCTTACACATCCAATTATAATTCCCCCTTGTAATGTAGTTACTCACTCTCAAGTCAGTGTCACAGAATACACACCACCATTCATTCACCACAAGCAAGGAACGTAATCCGAATTTTCAACATCAATGACAAGTCACCAGCAGTAATAGTAGTCCTTCAACACGCTTCAGAGACTTCGAGAGCACGTCACAAAAGCCATTTTCAAATGGCTACCACATATTTTAATCATCATTTCTAGACAAGGACAACGACCTCTGGCAGGAAAGAGACTGTTACCCAACAACAAATACGATGTGGATATGGACTGGACCTATGCTGATACCACAAGTCAAGCCCTAAAATGCAACCCGAATGGGAGGCCAAGAAAGAGTTGGACGACCGAAGGTGAAATATGCACGAGGAGGAGGAGGAGGGGATCAAATCACTGTTGGAAACGAAAGTCAGCAGACATTCATGCAGCCAGTGTGAAAAGTCTTGGCAAATAACAACCTAGTGCAATGAAGATATGTGCTGTTCCAAAGAATGAATAATATCAAAATAACATTGGAAATGTTGTCATATAATAAGTTTTCTTTCATTTTAGAAGCAAAAAAAAGTGGAAAACAATTTTCTGATTATATTAGTGGAATGTTGGGGGGTTGTTATCGCTGTTCAGGATTCATTACCTTTACCTCCTCCTCCTTCTTCTTCTTCCTCTTCTTCTTTGCCATGCATTATCATTCGTGTAAATTCTTTATAGTCAAAATTTCCATCATGTATAGGTGCACCGTGAAATAATTCATCAACTTTTTCATTCGACCATCGATCACCCATTGTTGTCATTAATTCACGTAAACGATTCTCACTTATTACGCCTAAAAGAAGAAAATAAACAGACAGGTTCATCATTTGATGAAAGTGTGTGTGTGTGTGTCTGACGCTTACTCACTCAACTCAGTAAGATGTGCTGAGTTGAAATCATTCGACTCAAGTGATTGGAAGTTGTCAGCACACAAACTACAATGACACTCACAGATCTCAATGTACATGTGTGAATACTTTGATGATATAAGCGAGAATGTTTGTTCGATTCACAGTATTAGCTGGTGGCACAATGACTCGTTTAGTCACTTGACTCTACACTACTAACTTCACCACAAACTTGAACAAAGTCACACATTAACGTTTAGAAAACCACATAATATGACTAACTCAATGCAACAGATGTAACTCATGGCTGACGGGTGTTCGAATGTAAAAGAAACCAATTCACTTTGACAGATGTTGAGTAGGACAACAACACGGGAATCATTTCAATGGTTACACTCAACTCAACCTACCTCCCCCCGCCCACCAGCTGGCATTATTTTTCTTTGAGGGCTCTCACACAACCAAAACAGATTCTAACTTCACCACAGTTAAGTACTGGGGTCTGGCTGGACCTAGGATGAATATTATGTAGACAACTGACCAGCGCTTGTTATAACAACTATCCATCACGATATGATAATGACCACTTGGAGACTCAGGATCGTTGACTAACTGATCTAGACACACCTGATCACCATTAGTCCGCACATCGTTCTAACTGTCTGTCTATTTTCGACAGAAATTTGCACCGATGTGCAGCAGTTCAAGTCGCCACACTCTATGTAGCACACAAAGCAAGAGAAGAAAATAGAAGAAATCCAAAACAGAGACAGTAAACAGGGATATGAGACAAAAGGAATAGTAATAACGAAGAACAATAAAGTTTCATTGGAAATTATAAGTCACAAGGAGTGGATGCATCTACACCATTGAGAAAGATTTTGAACCATATCACCGACTGTCTCCAGCCATCGGTGGTTTTTACCGTCCCGAGGAACCCAACTAGGAAGTCTACACCTTCCTACGTGGCTTAAACTAACCGCGTTTGAGTAGCTTTCGTTTCTCATCATAATCGGAGCTCGCTGGAATCTGTCTCCTTGCGTCAGTCAGTTCGGATGCGGTGGTAGAGATCCAATGGTTCTTACTAACTTTTAGTTTTAGGTTATTAACAGCTTTTATAACTGTGTCTACAGCTAACTGTATGTTGTGCCAGGTTACCTTAAAAGAAGTACTGTTGTCGACCTCAAATACACGTTTCGCTATCTCCCCCTTAAATGGGGACTCGGAGTCTCCATCTAGTTGGGGACGTACCTGCTTCGCTGCCGACAATTTCTTATGTGCGTTTAATCGTAAGCACAAACGTGCGCCAACCAGAGCGTGATCAGAGTCTACGCACGTGTTCCAAAAGGAGAGGCAGTCTTCTACTGACTCTCGCCATCGATACCCCATCGCTATGTGGTCTATCTGCGTACAGCGTTGATTTGGTGATGGAGGTAGCCAGGTTACACAATGTCTCTCTTTGTCCCTGAAGTTGGTGCTGACTAATAACAGCTGATTATCTGAAAAGAACTTTAGAATACGACGACCCTTGTCGGTTCGCCGGCAGGGAACTCCATACGTACCACCTATATACTTATCAGTCCGGCAAAACTTCCCTACTTGGACACTGAAGTCAGCTGCTAAAACAAATGGATCTGAACGTTTCGCGTTCAGCAGCAAATCGGACACTTTCAGGTAGAAGTCTTAGTTCTACCTAACAAATTTAACACAGCCAAGTAGAATCATGAGTCGCAAAATCTTTAACCACGATGACACAAAAACTTTTGTAATTAACTAACTGGTAATCACACAAACACTCACCTGTCCCTTCAGGATCGAAACAAGCAAATGCGTTCAATATCGTCTGCTCCGGATCACATCCCATCATCTTTTCACCAAATAATGTTAAGAACATTGTGAAGTTAATCTGACCAGGTGCCTGAGAAAGCATGTCATTCAAATAATCATCGTCTGGTGATTTCCCCAATGAAATGAAAATATCCTCCAGGTCATGCTTGTCAATCACGCCATCTTTGGTGGAATCAATCATTAGGAATGCTTCCTGTTTTCATCAAGTAAACACAAAAGATAGACTCATTATCCTAAAATAATACTGACAGACTTAGACAGGTTTACTAATTAATAATGATAATAGTATTCACAATATAATAAAACATCTTAAACACAGGTGGTTAGAATTGTAACCCACTCTCTACAGTAAACTTAACATAAGAACAATGCGTTTCAGAATAAATCACTTAATCAACCAGGAGATGTAAGTTGACGACAGTGTGCAAGTTCATGATTTAGAAAGCACAGTGAATTGGACAATGGCCGTTTTGATGTTGGAAACTGCCGTCTTGTTAGAACTCACTTAACACCAGAATTTGTATGAGCCAACCCCATGTACGAAGGCTGATGATGATGCTATCCAATCACACAGTCTGAAGTAGCTGGACTAGGATTCAAACTCAAGATCCACTGACTGAAAGTCAGTCGTTACAGTCAATCAGACCGTAGCTAACAAGTCGAACATTTATCGTTATGGATCCTGTCTCACATCATTTATCATCTATTGTTGTACTTAACAAAAAGAAAAGACTACACTTTAGTGAAATACTTTACAATACACTAAATGAAGATCCACAGGCAACTGTATAGAAAATAACGAGATATACAAAAACTTGTGCAACACATGTGCCACTGAAACTAATTTCTCAGTTGTCAATGTCTCTATAAAAAAAATTTGGCTTCACCATACTGGTTCTAGGTAACGAAGTGTGTATCAATGCTTTAACATAGGACACAATGAATATATGACTAATTCCAACACGGTATACGGATAAGATAAAAACGCCGAAACAAAAAAGGAGCACAGCGCATTGGAATAATGACTAGAAGCTTTGTAGGTGAGGTTTTACATGTGAATCATCGGTAACAGTCAAATTTTGTATGGCTTGTCATGCTCTACGGATACGGAGTAGCACTAACTCGTGGAATTACAGATTGAGTTATGAGCTACTATAGGAATAATAGGTGGAACATACTAGCCACAGGTTCAAAGCAGTTTTTAGTGATTCCATTAATCCCAGACCGGGAAACGAATTTCATCCAAATACTTACTGCCTCTCACATCCCAGTATACATGCACACAAAAAGTAAACTTGACTCTACCCACAATGATTTCTTCGTTATAATGCAGGTCATATAGGGATTTGTCACACGAGAAAAGCGTTTATCTCGTTAACTAAGTGCATTGTACGTGGCGGTCTCACTGAGGAAAATAGCAAAGAAATGAACACTAACAAAACAGACGAAAATGCAATGGGATAACACTATGCTGCTACATTTCACCAAACAAAATACAGAGAAAGAAGGACTTAAAATAACAATAACAGTGGTTGAATGTGCGACAGGAAAGAAAGAGCAAACTCTCCAAGCTGTGTGTGCAGCCATACCCTTTAGTTTCATATCAGCAGCTTTGTCGCGAGAAAATTGAATATTCACAGAGGATCCTATTTCGCTTGTTGGCGAGTATATACGAAGTAAAATAAAAACTATGACGCCTTTCTTTCTGAGTTCATTTTAACTCAAACTACAGGTAACAATAAGTGATAAGTTAGATAAACTGTCTGCTACGTCAACCGAATAATTGAAGACATGTCTACCGAATTGGGAAGTCTCAGGAGGGACACTGTCAAAAGTGAAAGTGTCGACATACTGTCATTAGCGTACTGCCTATTGCATACCAGTGTGTACCACGAAAGCATCTTCAGGTGTGGGAAACTCCGTTCTTCACAGATGACACTAGCTAGCAATAAATTCCTCCCAGGTACGAATCACCCGTCGATTGAAATCGTCACGGTGAAAAATGACCGCAGAATCTAGTGAGTTTAAATTAATTTTAGGGTTAAAACTTGAACAATAACCAACCCATCTATCATAGAGTACAACTGTTTCAAACATTTTAGGATACCAACAACTCGTACGTGACCAACATGCAAAGATCCACTCGCTTCAAAGCACCGTTTTCAAATGGATGAAATTATGCTGAAAACCGGGTCATCATACAAATTAAAAGTACACCATGGAGCGAGGTAACCTTGAAACACGTTGGGAGTTGTCGTGCGATACAAGGTACACATGCCTCACTAACCGATAGTTTAGAATATTAGTTCTCAACTTCTCTTAGAACTTTCTCCCAACAACATATTCTATTAATGTGGTCACATGTTGAGTGAGTTTCACAAGCCAAATCGAAGAAATCGTTAAGACTGTAGACAGACCGGAAGAAGATACGGTAATCTAATATTCTTTATCATCCAATTCCAAATGAAAATTAATGTATTAAGATGGCGCCATATCAGAAACAAACAAAGCAATAAAAACGAGATATATCACTCTTCAAATAGTCTGAAATAACCTCATTATGATGTATTCTGGAGTAATCGTTTTCTTACCCCTTTTAAGCAACCGCATGAGGTTGCAATAGTAAAACTGTGGGTGAAGTCATATAAGCCGTCAATTCGGTGGAAGATGAGAGGACATTTGATGCAATTTTACTTGAGGGTACTGCAATTTCTTCTCTAATTGCAATTAAAACGATATCAACTATTCTTGAGACACAAAGTATTGTATACAGTATATTGTATTGTATACAGTACACTAGTATATAAACTGCCAATGTTTAAGAGCGTAAGCTTACCTTGAATTCGCTGATTTGAGCTTCATTGAACATAGAGAAAACATTGGAAGTGAATCGCTGAGTGCGATTACGAGCACGACGTTTAGTCTTCGTACAAGCCATCTCGAATATTCAAACTACCGCCCTTTGAAGGCAATTGATTATACCGGTGTAACTATTTTTCAATCTTCAGTACCTATGTGAATAAATGGCTGAAATTATCCGTAACTTATCAAGGTCATTGGTGGAGAGAGACGCTCGAAGGTCATTTTCATCCATGTTAGTCGGCCATGTTGGATTGCAGTTCCATAGCTGTTCGTCTACGCGTTTGTTGTTCCGTTTATCCTGCAGTTATTCACGACTTATCTTGTTGCGTATTGTTCACAAATGTTGCGTTTCACCTCATTTTTTGTTTCCGTTGCCGTTAAAATGATTTATTTCTTTGGTTTTGAAAGTTTTCACTATCAGGTCAGTGCATTCATTCCGGTGTAATTGTTTCATACCTTGCAGTCATGCGGCTTTCTGTGTTTTAGTTGGTTTTCAGCTGTTAATGAATTGGTACTGTGTAGAAGTTTTGGAAATCATGCACATGAAGATGTTTGGCTGGTAGAAGCAGTTGTTTTCAGTCCATTTGTTGGTTGCAGGTTTTGTTGTTGGCTCATTTGGTTATTTAACATGTAGAAATCTGGGAAACTAATGTCTTTCACGTTTATGTCTACAGCATGCAACAATTTACCAGTAAATCTGGTGAGGAGGGCACGATCAAAGTTGATATTAGCAAGGTTTTCAAAGAACATGATCCTGGAAAATTTAGAACCTGGGTTGAAGTTGAAAAAGCTTTGAAGCTTTTTGAGAATGTGAATATACCATCAGTGTGTCTGCTATCACTTAAAAAAATATATTGTGAGAGAATCTAAGTCAAATAAGGTTGAGCCGCATGAAAAGTATGAATCTGTTGTGCTTGTGTGTATTTTGGGGAACTAAAAGAAACTGGAACCCTTAAGGGTAAGTGTTACTTATGCTTATTATTGCTTGATGTACTAGATCCAAATACATGAACTAGGACTACCCGTAATAGAGCCAGTGTTAACATCCATTCGATGGATTGCAAAACGGTTTCAAAGCGGATAAAATACGATGATCTGGTGAGTGTACGAACTATCCCAGTTAAAGGTAAGACATTAATTAGGAAGAATAACGTTTCGGGTTGTAATTTACGATCGGTGGTTTCCTCGAAGTTGTGATTTTTCCGTGACTGTAAACACGGATGTCCATGATTTTTAAAAAAGCTCTAAATAAATTTTCCTTGAACCAGTAGTCTTCTTTTCTTTGGCAAAACATCCGTTGATACGATTATACGATTAGGTAGCGAAGTAGGATGTTCTGTGACTGAGAATCGTGGTTGTTGTGTCTCGGACTAATTTTGCGCATCTGACTGTTATAACCACGCGGATATAGCGTTTTCCTCATGGTACATTATGATATCTAGAAATCATAAGCAAGCTGCCATCGGTAAATTTATTTTTACTTTTTAAATGACTGCAAATAATGAATCGTTTGAGGTGATAGGGTGGATACCTCTGAACTTTTTTGTGGAGACTAGGGTATATTTAATTTTTTGGAGTAGGAGACGATCTTTTCACCACGAAAGTTCTCAGAATTTCCTCTTTTGCTTCGTTATTCAAAGATAACGTTAAGTTGCACACTAAGGTAGTAGCTATAGTAGATTACCTTCAGCGGAAGCCACTCAAGGGTAACTACGTAGCTTTAGGTAATGCGTCATAGAAGTAAGCATCGTAGGTTAGTTGTGTCTAAATGTATTAAACGTTGTATAACTGACCAAACCGTAGTTCTTACATACGAGTTAGTTTTGTAAATAATGAATGTACCGTACAAGCGTTTACCTTGATTTGCATACCTAGCTCTTAAACATTATGCCTACATGTGGCATGCATTTAGGGCTAATACGCTGTGATGAATTAGTCCGAGATACTTAAAGTCAGACTTGATTTCTATATCACTATTAGCAATTTCGCAACTGTCATAGGAATTTACACCTTCACGTAACTTTCTTTTACAACGGAAACTGGAAATAACAGTCTGACATTTCGAAGGATTTAGTTTAAAAGCATTTTCTGACTCCTAATAGAGAGCTATTCATCTTAGTGCAGTACAGTACATTTAACAATACAACACTCAGTTTGAGTTTCAGCAAGCTTATTTAACAGAATATCTCTAGTTACTGGGTCGAAAGCAGATGTGTTATCTAGGAGGGTGCAGCGAATTTAGCCCCATTGTCTATACTGGAGAAAATATAGTGATGCAAGACTGCAGCTGCATCTAAAGTACTTCTACTGTGTTTATAGAAGAAATGTTTCGGATCCATAAAGTAGATATGCAAATACCGCAGTTGTTGATCATAGGAATGATGGATATTAGATAACATCCTATGATTCAACGGCATATTAGAAATAAATAAAAACGGTTTCTTAGCTCATTGTCAAGTGAACAGTCTATTTGATGATGTCACTGCATATTAACAGATTAGTGAAGCAGCTATCAAGCCTAAGTTACTACATTTACTTGTACCACATACTTGGCGTTTAACAGTATACAGACTTGCAACTGGCTAGATAAGGAGACTTTAGCGCATTGAACAGTACAGAATTATTATTCAACTTGCTAAATCCCACTTAGCTTTTACGATATACTATTGTGTAGAAACAGACACCAAATCCTATTAATGACTAAAGTAACAGTCTCGTAATACTACAGTAAATCTCCATCCCACTAACTAAGCTTAGCGTTTATTATTCCTAATTCACTTATTACAAAAGCACATAGTATAGCAAGGAATTGAAAAAGTCCAGAGGAATTACAAATCAAGAGTATATTAAACATTTGATTAATTTACAAAAGAAAATTCTGATGAAGGGTATTAACGTTAGTTTGACCGAATGATGTTTCCGCTGATTTCATATTCGACAACCTCCGTATACCTGAAAAAATAAAGTACATGTAAGATTTAGCATAACATGAAGTTACAAGAGATAATTCTACATATTAGCATATACCATGAATACAATGATTCTGTCAATACTAAGTAATATCTCATGCAGATAAATGTATTTGTAGTCTACAGCTGATTTTTATGTTGACGCCGTATACATAAATAGACATCATATGTTTTCCTGTATTTGAGGATTATACGCAAATTTCAAGACAATCTCCGAAACATCCATACTATTGAGACGTCATTCTCTCATCAAGCTTACTTGCAGATCAACTTCACACTAAACACTTTTACATGAAATGAAGTATTGCAAATGTATAACTTAGAAATTAATCCACAATCTCAGTAATGTCTAGTCCACAAGGTTTTGTGAATCCTACAGAAATCACATTTTCACATTTAGGAGACTATAGGCATCAAATATAAGCTGAACATGCCTCAACTCTAAACAGCTATGCACAGTGTTAACGACATAGAGAAACACTTAAACTATTGTAAAGTACACAGACCTGTTGTGTTGATGAGGATAATAATGTCATATAATGCAAACTAGAAAATTCAATAGTCACAACGCATCTGTACTGCTTTGTCTAAATGGAAATCTCAGGAGAAATTCGTCTCCACTATTGGTGATCAAAAATATTGCAGCATTAAGTATACAGTCAGTGGAAATTGTAAAACAGACCATAGATTCATAATAATGATAATAAAGCTTAATAGATTCAGTTCTCATAATCACCGCGACTCATGCGTATAGTCATACCGTGTAATGATTTAGTGCATTAATTGGAACAGCAAGGAAACTTAAACGAGTAATTGCCTTCTCCACTGCACTGTACTTGCAATAATCGTGACAACCACCTTCGTTTGTTATCCTGTCAGTCAGCTAAGTAGACAATGGCACAATATTATTAAAGTTGAGATATTTTTGTACATTTAATTCACATAACCCATAGTACACTGCACCAATCAGTGCCAATATATATGAAATCCACCTAGAGATAACCTTTCAACTTACCATAATTCCTGTCCAACCACAGATAGAGTGAAAAGCACATCTAAATGATAACTTAGGTTCCCACAGACTATTCTGATAGCATTTGCAGGTGATTTCCAAGTACTGAGAGAATTATTTTGTCAAAAAAGACTGTTCTTCACACGAAAATAGGCTGTATTGATATCCTGTGACATGAATGTCATTGATGATACTATGCCGAAAGGTGCAGCTTCTACATGGAGTAAACGATTTGTTTAAATGGCATTACCCTCTAACAATCCTATCTTCCTCATTACACCTATATTTTGATACAGTCCGCCTGAAACACTTATCATTGCAACCCATATGCTAAAAGTGTGTCGCAGTCAGATCACATGACGCGGACACCAACATAACTAGCCAAAAAATGGGAATTTCCCTCAATCTAGATAACATATAACACAATTTTATTAAAAATTATTGGCAAAAAAATTTCCAAGCGGAACTTCCGCAGTACGTGACAAATAAGTCCAGCCGAATAAATTCTTTGTATTTCACAAGTGCACTTCTTGATGCACTACTAGTTCGGTCTTCAAGGATATCAGCACACTTCATAGATTCCAAATGTCTACAAGTGAATGTAACTTTGTGACCAGCTAGTGTGGAATTGTCAATTAACTGACACCCATCTCTCGATGTTGGAGAACAGTTCTGGATTGAGGTCTACCTGTGATTTTGCGCGAAGTTGAACTGTATAAACTGTATTCGAAGAATCCGGTTCGGGAGTAACTACTCTTGGTTCACGAATTGTCTGCCGAATAACTTATGCTCTCTAGCATTTCGCTGCGTTGATGATGTAGAGTTGTGAAAGATCATGAAAAGTGAGGAATGCTCGTTCAGGTTGAAGTAAGAGCTGACCAACCCGGAGAATTGAGCCTCGACTAGCGACCTGACATTCTGCGCACATAAATGCTTGACGATGTTCACTCAAACACCAGTAGCACAAGGAGTTCCCAATCGTGTATGTGGGTCCAATCGCTTGCTTATGATTCAGATTCAGATAGAAGGCTTGGAGCTTATGTTAATCCTTTTCTAGTAAATTTCTGTAATTTCCCAAACCCTTCTTTCATAAAT